GTATTAATTCTACTAATTATTAATTAAATAGTAGTCGAAAATAAAAGAAAAGAGTAAAAAAAGATCAATATAAATAGTAAATTTGAATAGACATAAATATTAAATAAAATACAGAGAATATTATAAATATATTATACTTTTTTTTTAAACAATGCAAATTTTAAAGAAGTAAAAATTATCGTCGTTCGAAACTTTAGGAACATTATGAAAATTAATTAAGTAGATTAAATATAAATATTAAATATTAAATTTGATTAAACATAAATATTAAATTAAATTAAATATTAAATTTGTAAAATTGTAATAATTAGTGGAATTTTCATCATAATAGCAAAATGTATGTAAACATGTCGTCAAGTATCTTCTTCCTTTTGAATTTTTTTCTTTAGATTTATTAACTTCATTGTACAATTTCCTATTAAGAGTTTTAACAAAAAAACAATAATTTTCAAATACATTTGAAAAATTTTCCTTACATAATACCACACAATGAAAAATATTTCTTTTTTTTTAATAATTCTTTTTTCTCTATTCATTATAATTGATTTCATCTTAAAAATTACAAAAAAAACGTTGAGAATGAAATAAATTCTTTTTCTGACTGAAAACAGTTATACTAATTTTATATTCAGACATTCAAATGCAAAGTCATTGAACTTGAAAGTATATATAGAATGAATTATATGCTACAATAACCAATTGCAGTTTAAGTAAATAAATATAATATCGAAGCGCATATTGAATGAGTTTATTTCCATATATAAAAGCTATTAATAGAATTCATTATCATAATATGTATAAGGAACTGTAACATAGAAAATGTGATGTTCTACGGAAAATATTTATGGCTTTTCAAAAATTCCATGTAGTCTTGAATTTTATTTCTTCAATTAAATAACATTACGCAGTTCAAGGATATCGTTTAACGATGACTTGCGTGTTATGAATTTATAAACATGTGAGAAAATGATTATACACACGAGATTTTTAATCTTCTAATATTTCATCTTATTTTGCTGTAATTTTTTATATTTTTAACGAAGTTTTAAGAAAATGCAGTTTTCAGTTTAAAATTTAAAGAGAAGATAGAAATCAAAGTTCTTTTTCAATATGAGTCGGATTTTTCGGTAAATTTTTACTAATTTGAAATATTTTTCTCTTTTTCAGTCAAATTATGTAATTTGAGGCTTTTTGTTGAGCTGCGTAATTTTAAGAGTAGAGGAAGCAACGTTTTAAATAAAGGCATAAAATATTTTTTTATTAAAAGAAATTTGTTTTGAAACAAGACCTTCTCATTTCCGTTGAAAATGTAAAATTTTAAAAAATTGTCAAAAAGCAAGAAAGAAAATTGATAAAATGTAAACATAAATTAATAATTCTCCATGCGCTATCATCAGGAAGTAATAAATCTCAACGTGATTTTCCATTCAACAAAAAGGCTTGTGACAAATATTAGAGAACAAAGTCTAAATAACACAAAAGTACAAAGTATTTGTTACTTACAAAATAATGCAATTCTCTAAAATTCAATTTTATAAAATTTTAATTATATTTTCTGCAATATAATTAAAATTTTATAAAATTATAATATTTTATAAATTTTATAAAATTTTTACGTAAGAAAATTTTTTCTCCTAATCTCGCAATTATTTCTATATTTAAACATTAATGAGATTGAGAGTGTCATCAAAAGAAGAAAAAATAAACAAAGAAATGAAAAAAAAATTCGAAAAAAGTATCCTTGAAATAATTATTCATTTGAGATTCGTTTCTATAGACCATATTCACATCTGGGAAAATTGAGAAAATACAATAAGCCTGTTTTATATTTCCGGTAGTTTTATATGTATAGCGAGGCTCCTTCTGCAATCTAATCCTCGCTTACACATGAATTGTCAAAGATAAAAGTACAAGTCATGAAAAGATTATCTAAATACTTTTTATAAAGTATGAAAATTCCTTAACTTTGTAAATTTTGCTTGTAATGCTGTAATTTGTTTTTTATTTTTTGCAAATTTTGATAAAATTGTGAATAATGAATAATGTACTTAAAACTTAACGCAAGGATAATTTTAATTTATAAACTTTTTATTCCCAAGAAAAAACAAATTTTTTATTTTATTTTTTTTATTTTTATAACATTATAATTATAAATAATTAACGTGCATAAAACTTTACACAAGAATCGTTATTTTATTTTAAAAACTTTTTATTTATTTAAACAAAAATTTAAACAAATTTAAAAAAAAATTTTAACAAAAATGAAATAAATATATAAATAAATTAATTACATTAATTTAAATAAATAACTATGAAAAATTCTGAACGTTCAAATGAATGAAGTATTTTTTCAATGAGAATATTTTCAAAATTGTCGACTTTTTATTCATTGAAATTCGAAACAAAAAATAAAAAATATTTATTTACATAAATAAATAAATTAATTTAAATAAATAACTGCAAAAAATTCTGAATGTGCAAATGAACAAAGTGCATTTTTCTTGGTAAATATTATTCAAAATTATTATTGACTGAGATCAAAACCAAAATGTAGGTATATTAAAAATTTTGAAAGTTTAAATTATTTTTTAATACGTGACCGAATATTATTTTTTTCAAATATTTGAATTTGAAAAAGAAACAAAAAAATTTCGTTCATTTCAATATCAAAAATTTTAAAAACCGAATATTTACTTAAAACCAACAATTAGTTATTTTTTACTAACAATTAGTTATTTTCTACTAACAAGAAGAATTAGTTATTTTTTAATAACAATTAGTTATTTTCTACTAACAAGAAGAATTAGTTATTTTTTAATAACAATTAGTTATTTTTTACTAACAATTAATTATTTTTTACTAACATTTAGTTATTTTTTAACAACAATTAGTTATTTTCTATACTAATAAATAATTATTTACAATTTAGAGAGAAATGTTTCTATAAACAAAAAATAAAATTTTTTAAAGAAATTTCAAAACTGAAAAAGTTGAAATTAATAAAATTAATCTTTACCAATTTAATGCAATGGTAAAGATTTAATTAATTTATTTTTACTATTTTACCAAATTTGCCTTTTTTATTTATTCTTTACTAATTTTTTTGTTTTTATTTTATTTAGGTACTAATTTTATTAATTTAATAGTAAAAAATTTCTAATTTGTTGTAAAATATTTATCATTTCCAAGAATAAAACTTTATTTTCTTAATTAAAAGATATTTTACTATGAAATTATAGTAGTTTTTTATTAAAAATTAGTAAAAATTTTACTATTGAATTGGTAAACGAATACGTACTCTTTAATTAGAAAAAAAATATTATTTCAAATTTAGAGAGTAATGTTTCTATAACTAAAAAAATAAGAAAAGTTTTTTAAAAAATATAAAAATGTAGAAAGTAAAAAGTAAAAATTTATTAATAAAAGTATTAAAGTAAATAAAATTAATGAGTAAACATTAATAATATCAAAAAGCTAAAAGAAATAAAATTAATGAGTAAAAATTAATAAAATCAAAAAGTTAAAATATAAAAAAGTATAAAAATTAAAAATTAATAAAATTATTAAAATAAATAAAATTAATGAGTAAAAATTGATAATATAAAAAAAGTTAAAAGAAATAAAATTAAAAAGTAAAAATTAAAAAAATTTATAAAACAAATATAATTATAAAACTATTGTTATAATCTAATCATCTCTGTTTTATAATCATAGAATTAAAAACAATGTTTCAAAAGCTTTTTCCAATTTTCATTTTCCCTCAAGTGGATGGAAAATTTTCCAATAACTAAAAGCTTCAATATTCTTGATAATAATTTATCAATCAAAAGCATTAGGAATTATTGAAGTGAAATAGCTTAGTTTAGAGACATTTAGCTAACCTTTAGTATTAGAATCATGGGTTAATTGATTCACATGCACGTGTTCTGTATACAACAGTTTTTATAGAAGCTCGGAATTAATTTATGAAAACTGTATGTTCCATACTCTTTAATTAAATTTACAGCCATTCGAGAACCGAGAAGTTACATTTTATTTAACCTCCCACATTTTTAGTGTAATTAACGTGGAACTTTGTTTAAAAAAAGAATATTGAAATCTCTTAAACATAAATGGTATTCCCCAATTTCACAAGTGTCAATTTCTATAATTGTGTTAAAGTGGAACAAAAAATTAATTAAATAGTAATGTACAGTAAAGTTAAATCATCATTAAATTATATCATACATATATCGTAATTGTCATAAATTAAATTCAAATTATAAATCCTATTTAGGTTTGTAAATCGATTTGCATTATTAAATATACGGCCGTTAAAGTAATTAAAAATGGTGATTAAAATCAATTAATGAAAAGTGAATTAATAAATAGCAGATAAATATTTATAGAAGGAGAAAAAGTTTATGAAGTGTTTGCAATTTTTTAAAATTGCTCGTATGCTATAAAATAGAGTGGAAAAATGAGACTTTTGCTGAAACTACTGTTATTACAAAAGGAACAGAAACTGTTATCTAAATATTGTTATCAAGAATATAATTACAATTGTGTAACTTAATATACAAATTTTTATTTATTTTTCTTTAAATAGAAATCGATTTTTCGTCTAGTTATTACAATTTTCTAATTTATTGCTTTTTCATTTAACTTTTTGTTTCTTTTTAGAAAAAAACAATTGTTTTATAGCTATAATGCATAACATTTTCTTCAATACAAATGTAAAATAAATTCTACGAGTGAATTCTGAATTTTAATTTAAACAATTGATTTTGCGATATTTATAATATTAAAATTTATTACGTAGAATATAAAATAAAAATTTATTATGAAGAATATCAAATATAAATATTAATAAATATTAATAAATATTGAATATAAACATTCAACTAACAAAATAGCAGTTATGCAAACTTAGTCACCTTGAAAATTTTCGACCACGTGAGACCACGTGCATGTGAACAAAATGTCAAAAATGATTTTTTTATTAATTAAAATAGTTTTACCTGTTTCTTTTTTTTCTGCACCAAATAAACTATAAATTCTTATTGCACTCACAAGGACACTAGAACTTTGATAAAAACACTTAATTGCAACTTATTGGCGAATTGCATTCTACAACTTTTCTTTAAAAACCATTTTTCTTGAATTTTTCATTTAGAAATTTGAAATAAATAGATAAAATAACGATTAGCGCCTAGCAGTAAAGAGTCATCTGGTCCAAACTTATTAAGGCACTGAATGAAGATGAAAATACACTTGTTTCTCATGAAAACGGATAGCGGTATCTAGTCCCCTTCCACTTTTAAATAATCAGAGCTGCATTAACTCAAAATTGTGCCCTAAGCTAATAAATAATTTATATTGACATTAAGGAAAAAGAATTTTTTCCAAAAAGGATTATTTCATTATTTTTCTACTGAAATGAAATAAAAAAATAATAATATAGAAAATATATTTTGTGTATTTCAATCGAAGGGGAATTTATTCATTATTCCAGAAATTTTATTCTTAATTTCTTTATTAAAATAAATGAGATGACACTTGAGGAAGTAATATATTTTTTCTAAAATGTAATTTATGGAATTTTTTAAAATTTATTTCTTAATTTTATCGATAGGTATTATAATAAAAAAGTAACATTTATAATTAATACTTATTTCCTTGACAATTGTGTCAATAAAAAAAATTGTAATTATCATTCGAATCAAATTATAATTAACAATTGTTAATTCTACAATTGTTAATTATAACTAATTACCGACGATCAATGTATTACCATATGATTGAATTTCTAAACCGTTGAGTCGATAAAGTCACTCAGTCAACTTTCCTGAATTCTTGAAATTTTAGAATCATTAGTAGTCGAAGTGTGTTTCATTAAGACGCTTCAATTTATTTTTAAAAATTACTCAATAACTAAAGACGGACAATTCACATTGAAACTTCTCAAAATAATTTTCTGTTATTTTTTCTCTAAGTAGTAATAGTGAGTTTTAGCCAGACTTTCTAAATTTTTTAAGTAGTAAATGACAGTATTTGTCAGGCAGAATTTTTAAGAATTTTTCTATTTGTTACAAGAGATAGTTTCCTGCAGTTACAAATTTACAAATTTTTCGATTAGTAGCAAAAGTCAGATTTAGTCTGTACAAATGTGATTTTTGTACAAAACTATTTTTGGCTACTGGAATTTTTTATTTTCGGACTAAAATAAATGTTTCAGTATCAAACGGACCTCAAAAAATTTTTCTATTCTTGCTGATGTTATTTGGTCTTTTTTTGAGTATCAGTTGATCTGAAAAGAAGAATTTGTTAAGAGCAGTAGAATGTAGAGTTTATTAAAAATTTTTAATGTTTAATAAAAATGAATGCCTAATGTGAAATCAATTACTTACAGTATTCGTGTCTGATATTTTGTGTACCTCTCCAATAAAATATGAATAAAATTTTTTATTGGAAATTCTATTACGATTGCGATGAAAAATGCGAGGCCCACTGAGTAGATCCAATCTGATAGTACACTTTTAAACTGTAAAAAATTGTTATTGTTTATTTTATTTTCAATTATTATTATTATTATTATTTCTTTATTAGCTTCTCTGGTGTGAAAACTTACTAAATTGTAGAAAGAAAAAGTATTCGTAGTTTTTGCTGTCCCAAATTCATAATGATAAATTAATAAGTGACTTAAATAAACTGTGTAAGAGATTCGAGAAAGAGGTTGCAGCCATCTTGCTGATAAAATATTGTAAAAGACATCTAAACAGAAATAATAATTTTAGTCATTTATTAATAATTTTAGTTATTTAATGATTTATTATGTTCGAAGATTACCTAAACCTTCTCCTATTGTTAATAATAGAGGGATAGCACATGTACTAATCGCAAAAATTGGTCTGTGCAGACTTGCGAACAAAGCTTTCTCAAAACTAGTTGTTTTCCAACTTGGATGTACGAAATAGGTTCCACTCCATATTGTACTTAATATAACGATAACTGAAATAATAAATAAAATTTTTGACCATGCCTAGAAAATTAAAAAGACGAAATTAAAATTAATTAAAGCAAAAAAATAAATGAAGTTATTGAATTGAGTTATTAAATAATAATTATTGAATTTACCTTTGAAAGTCGCCAATTAATTTTTTTATAATCATACAGAAAAACTCCGAAAATTAATCCAATGATATAAGGTGTCGAACGCACATGAGTTTTAACGTAATAATTCAGAAAATAATCATTTTCTTCTATTTTTCTAGCGCTATAAAAAATATAATTCATATTCATTAATAATAATTAAAGATAATAATTTTTTAATAATTAATAATTATTAAAGAAAATTAAATATAGGTGTCAAATTAAACTTTTTTTGAAACTCAATTTTTGCAGAGAAAAAAGCTTTACCTGGAACAAATTTTACTATATTAGCGAAATTTTTTGTTACTTCAGCTAAGACTTTCTTTAGTCCAGAGAAATTTATCACTAATAGAGGTAAAACTTTTTTCCTTGTGAATATTAATATTTTTTGAAAGTGTTTTCATCAGGATTTTGATTGACAAGAATTGTAATAAACAGCCCCCCAACTATTATAATTTTTACATATTAAAAAAATGCTATTGCAATTACTTACATGGTAACTGATTTAAAAATTGGATCTGAATCATTTTTGTATGTAAAGTAAAAAGTTATCACTATTGAACAGATTAGAGCACAATTAATAAATATGTAACCAATTTTTCGTGGCATTTTATAAAATATTCTTATTAATAATACTCCAATTATGTAACATTGAAAATCGATCGCTAAATACCAAGACTGAATAACGCACTAAACAAAAATAATCATAAGGTTATTATTTAAGTGATATAGAAATACTTTTCATTAGTACTCTTTTAATCTGTATCAGTAAAATTTAAACTGTATGTTGCTACCTTATTATTTCCGCCAAAATAGTTATTGATGAAAAATAAATTTGTCCACCAATAAGAAGAACAAGAATTTCTAGTGAATCCCATAATTGATTCCCAGAAAGGTCCAGAACCTAATCGATAAAAAATCGTCGCGTATCCGAATGTTATAAACATATAGAGTGGCAACAATCTGTGAAAACATTAATTATTAAAATTAGATAGTTGATGTAAATGTAAGAATGTAATTTTGTAAGAATTATGTAATGTACCTCACTATTCGTTTGAATACCAGAATAAAAAAATTAAAACTTTTACTCTCATTCCAGTAACTTAATAAGGAGAAGGACAGTAAAAGTCCTCCTAATCCGAAGAATCCATCTATAACCAAAGTAGAATTGTGTAGTAGTCCGAAAATTATTTTAGATGCAACCTGCAGAATTATTAATGTAATATAGCATTACTCTTTGTGTAACAAACAACTTTTTGAAAAACATTTTTGCAAAAGATCTTTAAGCTTAGATCATCTAAGAAATTATGTCTCTGTTATAGATTAAATTACTCAAAGATAATTTTTCTTTACATATGATTTTATCAGTAATACCCATTCAATATATAGTCCTGAAATAGTTCCCGTATAAATATATTGTAATTGCCTGTGACCAATAACTGTAATTGCTGATAAAAGAACTCGAAAAAAGTGGATAGAATCAAATCCTTTATGTTGATAATTCACCCTAAAAATCTCGTTAAAATTTCTACAAGCTGAAAAGCAGAGAAGCAGAGAGGACTCTTTGTTTTGGTCAGAATTTACATCGATGACAGTGCCGATTATGACCATTGCCAACAATGATAGAAATGTAACACTGAAAATTAAGAAAGTATTTAATTCGTTTTTTTAACTAAATTTATTTTAATAATGGAAGAAGAATATCTTACCAGAAAATTAAATCATAAATAGAAAATAGTGGAAGTTCTTTAGAACAGTACATAGGCAAAATTGATGCTTGGACTTTAACATTATAATTTTTGCCAAATTCGTCCAAAGGTTCTTTAAGTGCCATCACAATATCTTCTGGTTGACATTCCGCAGGGAAACATAATGCCATTTGCAAAAAGTACCTTTGCCATCGTCGAAAATCGCCCTTTTCCTTGAATTCAAAATTTTTATGCTAACATCTCTTGAACGAAAAAGAATTTTCCAAAAACAATTAATTATTTACCCGAATTGCTTCCCAAGCAGAATCCTGCGGATCGAAAAATATTTCGTATTCACCAGTGAAATTCGTTGATTCATTTTTTTCTTTAAACTTCACATCCACCAGACAATATCTACTGTGAATTTCCTCAATTTTTCCATCTTTTTCATCTGTTATTTTAGTTTGAATTCGCTTACACTGGTCATAGCTTCCCAAATGCCGTGTGAAACCATTGAACACACCATAGGGATATTTAGAGGATGCATCAAACACTGTAAATCAGTGAAAATTTCACTTTTATTAAGTCAGTGAGTGACTTTTCTTCTATAAATCAGTAGAAATGATTTACATACTTATTCGGACAATTTTAATTTTTAAATTTTTAATGAAAATACCAAATTCAGTAATATTAAAAGCTTTAAATGAATAAACAATTTTTTTTTAGAAATTTTGTTTCTTGGATCTTTTTTGTCCCGAAAACGATTTTTTAACCATACTGTATAGTAGTTAACAAAACTATTTTTAATTCAAAAACAATAATGTTGGTGTTCAATATATAGAATATTACTCGTAAAAACATATAATCACAAGAATTTTGCTAGATATTATAATGAGAGAACATAAAGTATGTTAAAATAAGTACTCACTTTCAGTAGCCCATAAGGTACCGTTTTTTAAATGCTTCAGATACAATTGTAATTGTTTTTTACAAGAACCTTCGGGAATTGAATTCGAAGTTGCAACTATAACTGGCAATAAAGGTACATTATTTTAAAAACCAAGGAGATTTTTCACCTTTTTCACTTCTTTCACTAATTACATTTCTTTTTGAATTTTTATCAATTTGCAAATCTTGATCGAAATTTGATATTTCTTTTGTTTGCAAAACTTGTGAATTTAAAGCAAAAAACACAAAAATAACACAAGTTCTGACAGAAAACATAATTTCTTGTTGCTTTTGAAATTAGGAATTATACTAAATTTCGAATAATTGTAAATTGCAAATAAATTAGAATTAAATAAATTAGAACCAAATAAATTAGAATTAAATAAATTGGAACTAAATAAATTAGAATTAAATAAATTAGAACTAAATAAATGAGAACTAAATTAATTAGAACCAACTAAAGTTAGTTCATAAAACTATAGCACTTTGTAAAATTAAAGACATGTTTTCCGTCATAGCACACGGAGAGAAGATTCTATTCTGGAAAATATTATTATTAATGTCTTTATCAGGTATTCGAGGTCGTAATGTTTTTATTTAAGAAAAAGACACTTTGCACAGAGTTTATTTAATAATATATGCAAAACACAATATTTCTAATTACTTACTGCTCTAGTCTATAATAAAAAAAATTAATTTCCTTACAAGAATCCACTTATTATTTCTTCTTTATTAATGTAAAAATTTTTTAAATGCGAAAAAAGTTGGTTGAATACAAATGTTCTCTATTGATATGAAAAAAAGTATAAATAATCAATGGTTTCCTTGAACGTCGATTCATGATCAAGATCAATTCATTTTATATCGTGATAAATATAATGAAAAATAATTGAATTTGAGCATTTTTATTACCAGTTTGTAATTTTTTTTCGATTCTAATGATAGAAGCTGATTTTTAAGACATTATAATTATTTGTGCGTGTGACTTTAGTAGAATTATATTTAAAATTATAATTATAATTAGGATTATGTTTAAAAAGTTCTTTTTAGTAAATAAATGTTTATAAATAAGAGATATTTTCCGGCAAACTAAAATAGTCCATTTTTATATACAGAAATGTAAGAATTACAACCCGTGCAGAAATTTTGGTATGGCGCCGATCAGGCCCTGATAGGGGTAAATATGGCCCTGATCAGGCAATCCGATCCGTGCCACACCTGGGACGAAACGCCTAACCTGATCAGGGCCAGATAGAATGATCCCTAGTAGGGCCCTGATCTGGCCCTGATTTGATTTTTTTAAATATTCATTTCTAAAAGTATCAAATTATTTATGCATTTTAATAACAGAAAAAGGTTTTATTTTAAATATTAGTTTAAATATTTATTAATTTTAAACAAACCTACTATGAAAATTAAAACTACAAAAATTAAACCTACTATGAATAGAAAAACTATTAAAACCTATTATAAATAATAATAAAAATGAATTATTAATTAATAAGTAATAATTAATAGTAATTAATTTATTTGTTAAAACATTACAAATAATAATTATTCTGTATTTATTTTTCTTGCATTTATTTAAAAAAAAATACTTTTTGAGTTTATTCAACTTTTTTTTTACTAATTTTAACAAACCAAGTTTTTGATTAATTTATTACTATTAACTATTACTAGGGGAATGTAGTCAAGGTTGGCCTACTGTCTAGGTAGGCCACTCGCGTTTTTTTGTCAAGTTCACTAGCGCCACCTACGCGCATTTTTGTCGAAGCTTGTCTTAGTGAAACCTAACTTTTTGTTCAATTACATTTTCGGAAAATCGAAAATTGTGTTTTCTGTGACGTCGGTACAAAAAAAGCTCAAAAAAAGTTTTGTGCATAATGTGAAAAACCATTAATAAAAGATAAAAAACAAATTGAATCGTCAAGGCAAGTATGCAGAAAATTTGTGGGACTCATGGTTGAAAGGAAAACAAAGTAAAAAATCGAATCCCGAAACGTATTTCTTTATGGTTACAACAATTCGGTAATGTTACTTACTGTCAAGGTCGGCCACTATGTGTTTAAAATGCGCAAAGTTGAGGACGAGCTACTTCATTTGCAAAAACTGCAATTCTATATAACTCATAATATAATTGATCATCTTATTAATATTTTTATTTAATTTTATTAATATTTTAGTGCAAAACTTTTTTTTATTTATATTTATTTTTTATATTGTTTATTGTTATTATTTTGTTATTTCATTAAGTTACAAACTGTAAACAATAAAGAATCAATTTTCCGTAACTCCAAACATGTTATTTTATTTTTTAAAGATTAATGCCCTTTGAATTTTAAACATGGCCGACCTTGACTGTAATGGCCAACCTGGACTACAAATTTTTTTTTTTTTAAATCTTTATAACTTTTTCATTTTTAAACCTGTCAATTTACTTTGTACAGAAAAAGTGTTCCTATTTAACAGGACTTTCCAACCATATACTTCAATTGTCCAAATTCATTTTTAAAAAAAAGTTATAAACAAAAGTCAAAAAGGTGGCCGACCTAGACTATGTTCCCCTATAATTAATAAATTATTATTATTTCTTAAATCTACATTTCGCTTTACATTATTAACATACATTGTACACAAAAACACTTAAAAAACTAAGACGGAAAAATATCGCACGCACTGGGAATCGAACCCTAGACCTCGAGGACGCAAGTCGAATACACTAACCGCACAGCCACGCAAGCTTGGAAGTTATTTGACTCAAACTACCATTTGAATGTTGGGACTGTATTATTTAATAATAAATTAATATATTTAACCCTTTAACGCCCAGTGGTACATACGCTGTACCACAAATGCATTAAAGTCATCATAACTTTGAAACTAATACATATTACTACAAATTTTAAATTCTTAGCTCTAGTAAAACTCTTCCAGCAGATAATTAAAAAAAACAAAAGTAAAAAAATAATAATAAATAATTAAAATAATAATAAATAAAAAAAGTGTCAAGATACATTTTCTCCTATGACGGACAAAAAAATTTTAAAAAATTAATCAGATTCGTTTAAAACTTGTTACTCGGGGGTTTTTGGAGTCGCTGATTACAAATATGAAGTCAAAATTGCAAAATTCAAAATGGCGGATCCAATATGGCGGACGAAAAAATAAAAAATAATGGGATTTGTATGAAACTTGTCACTCGGGGGTTCTTGGGGTCGCTGATTACGAATATGAAGTGAAAATTGCAAAATTCAAAATGGCGGATCCAATATGGCGGACAAAAAAAAATAAAAATAATGGGATTTATATGAAACTTGTCACTCGGGTGTTTTTGGGGTCGCTGATTACGAATATGAAGTCAAAATTGCAAAATTTAATTTGGCGGATCCAATATGGAGGACAAAAAAATAATGGGAGATATATGAAACTTGTCACTCGGGGGTTTTTGGGGTCGCTTATTACGAATATGAAGTCAAAATTGCAAAATTCAAAATGGCGGATACAATATGAAAGACAAAAAAATAACAAATTAATGGGATTGACATTAAATTTGATGCTTTGGGTTTTTGGGGTTTCTGAGGTTAAAATGTTAAGAATCATAATGGTGGATTTAATAGAGCGAATTATGTTTAATAAAAGTAAGATATTTAATCCATTTGTGAAAGGAAACCTGGAACGCTTGACTCGAACGAAAAAGAACAAATGAAAATCAGCTGGCCAATCAATAAAAACAATTGACAACCCTGGAGCGCATGACTTGAATGAAAAAGAACAAATGATAGTCAGCTGGTAACAATATTCAAGTAAATCCTATTTAATTTTTAATTCTCGTCCGCCATTTTGGATCCGCCATTTTGAATTTTGCAATTTTGACTTCATATTCGCAATCAGCGACCCCAAAAACCCCCGAGTAACAAGTTTCATATAAATCCCATTATTTTTTATTTTTTTTATCAGCCATATTGGATCCGCCATTTTAAATTTTGCAATTTCGACTTCATATTCGTAATCAGCGACCCCAAAAACCCCCGAGTGACAAGTTTCATATAAGTCTTATTAATTTTTAATTTTTTCGTCCGCTATATTGGATCCGCCATTTTAAATTTTGCAATTTCGACTTCATATTCGTAATCAGCGACCCCAAAAACCCCCGAGTGACAAGTTTCATATAAATCCCATTATTTTTTATTTTTTCGTCCGCCATATTGGATCCGCCATTTTGAATTTTGCAATTTTGACTTCAGATTCGTAATCAGCGACCCCAAAAACCATTATATACCAAGTGTGGTTGAAATCGAATCGGTGGAAATAATTCGGGCTTTAAAGGGTTAAAGTTATACTCTTAATAATTTTAATAATAATAATAATAATAATAATAATAATAATAATAACAAAATATTGTGATTTGAAATTATTTATAAAAAAAATTTTCTGTATCCCTTTGCCGAAAGTGCTGTCTTCCCGGTCTGATTTGGCTCCGGGAATAGCGACTTTTGTGGCCGGCTCGACAGACCCAACGAGCGCTCTGATTGGTTACAAGAATTTCAACACACGTACATGTTAGCATAGCAACCACACAGACTTTGCAAAAGTCGGGCGGGCAACTTATTGAGCTATTTTATTATTCAAACAATAATTATTTAACGTACTTTCGGCTGGGGATACAGAAAAATTGTATACGACACACGGCCAGAAATTTGGATACCCTAGCGATGAGCGTGATATATAAAGCTTCGGCTTCGCCTCGGCCTTATATATCACGCCGGCCAGGAAGTCCAACTTTTTGGCCTAGTATCGTAATATACTATTGCTTACAAGAATCCACTTATTATTTCCTCTTTATTAATGTAAAAAATTTTTAAATGCGAAAAAAGTTGGTTGAATACAAATGTTCTTTATTAATATAAAATAAAGTATATAAATAATCAATGGTTTCCTTGAACGTCGATTCATGATCAAGATCAATTAATTTTATATCATAATAAGTATATTATGAAAAATTATTGAATTTGAGCATTTTTATTACCAGTTTGTAAATTTTTTTCGATTCTAATCATAGAGGCTGATTTTTAAGACCATTGTCTTGATTGATTATAATTATTTGCGTGCTTGTGACTTTAGCAGAATTATATTTAAAATTATGATTATAATTAGGATTATGTTTAAAAAGTTATTTTTACTGAATAAATGTTTATAAATAAGAGACATTTTCCGGCAAACTAAAATAGTCCATTTTCATAAACAGAAATGTAAGAATTACAATTATACGTTAAATAACAATAATCCATTTTTGCGGTTTTATGATTTTTTGAGTTTACTCCGTAAATGGAAAAATTTTTTCCCCCTGTTCATATTCATAACTGAATAAATAACTTTTTATACGTAAATTATTAATATCTATATTTTTCATTTTTTTTTTTCGATATAAAAAAATGGTTTCAGAATTGTTAACTTGTGATGTAGTTTTAGGTCTCGGACTGAATATTTAGAAAAAAAATTCTATTACCCAGGCGGAAATTTCCAACCGGCGCGGATCCTAGCCCGTACTGACGCCGGTGTAACTGTACTGGCTCGGAACCGCCTGCCAACCGAATGTGAACGGGCATTCTACCGAATAGTGACTAGGCCAGGAGCGCGCTGGCAACCGGCTCGGAACTGGCATTCTACCGCCCGCTGACCGGCCGGGAGAAGCCGTTCCGTGTATAATTCAACCGGCTGGGACCTGGCACTCTACCGACCGTGGATTTTCCATTTAATAGCCAGCCGAGCGCTGGCATTCTACCAACTGACAACCGGATCGGATCCAAATGATAATTTCAACAAATATCAATAAAAAAATAATAATTAATTGCAAAAGATAAATACTGATGACAATTCATTGACAGTTCACTTTACACATTTTTTTTATTTTTTTATATACTTAAACGCAATTTTTTATTACATACACATTTGAAAAATCCTAACGCTTGGAGGTACGAACCTACGCCTAACCGAATATTTACGCACCGAAATCTCGCACGCTAACCACTATGCTACGCTCGCATGGGACTCTCAAATCTTAAATACTCTCAAGTGTCACAAGCTGAAATAAAACTTGTCGAATACGCGTCAATGCTACAGCTATATTTTTATTATTATATAATATATTAAATAATTGTATCTCAATATAATAATATTGAACATAATAATATTAATAATTTTAATTAATATCACAATAATAATAAATTTATTATTATTGAGATATTATTAATTAACATTAATATTATTGAGAATTAATAATAAATTATTAACATGAATATTAATATTTATTAATATTTATTAATATTAATAATTTATTATTAATTCTCAATAATATTAATTAATAATATCTCAATAATAATAAATTTATATTAATAGTATAAATTTATTTATAATAATTATAAACTATAAGTGCACAACAAATTTTTTTAATTGTTTAATTTTGAAAAAACTCTTAATAAATAATTACTTAATATTTTGATTAAATTCATTTATTAATTAATCATTATTTTCTAAAATAATGCAATTAATTATTGTAATAATTATTTAGTTATGACACATTTATTAAAAATAAATTTATAATGTGATTTATAATGTGACAATAAATGACGACATCCGCAGTCGGATCCGGCCCAGCACCGAGCCAGTACAGACTTAACATATCCGTCATTCTTCCGACGCCGCAGAAGAATAAGATCCGCCGGCGGAAGAAATCCAGTACCGAGCCGGTACTGACAATAGTGGGAAGACGGATCCGACAGTCGGAGCATAATCTGTACCGCGCCGGTTGCTTTTTCAGATCCGAATCGGTACAGACCGTCGGTACTTGCGGTCTGTACGGGCGCGGATCCCAGCCGGTTGTAAATTCCGACATTCGTCCGACTTTTCCGCCTGGGTATGAGACATAAAACATTCGTAATAGTTACAAAGTGTCTCACATTACTTATTCACAAATAATAAGTACATTTTCTGTTTGAAGAAAAGCATTATAACATTGCATTAAATGCACATTTTTTTAACAAAATAAAATAAAATTTGAAATATGTCATTATTTGAACAGAAAATTATTACTTTACAAAATTATTCAATTAATTTAAATTTAATGAATAAATAATTTTTTAATTTAATTCTTATAATTGATAAAATTACTTTTTTTTAAATTAAAATGCTATGTTTATAAAAAATTTACCGACGATCAATATATTTACCTACGAATCAATTACCATGTGATTGAATTTCTAAACTGTTGAGTCGATAAAGTCACTTAGACAACTTTCCTGAATTCTTGAAATTTTAGAATCAGTATAGCAAATGAAGTGTTTTCTTAAGATATTTCAATCGGCTTCTAAACAGGTCTCAATAATAAGTGATGACAAACGGTTCATATTTAAAGCAACCTTCACAAATTTCTTTTTTTTGCACTTGGTAGCAAACATTAATTTCCGGAAGTCAACCACAGATTTTTGTCATTTCCTTACAAAAGTAGGAGTAGTATGTTTCCTACATTTGTTTGAAACGGACCTCAAAAATTTTTTTGGTGTTACTCGTTCTTTTTATGAATGTCAGTTGTCCTGAAAAGAAGATTTTTATTAACAGTAATAGAATGTAGATCATATTAAAAAAATTATTAAGTACTTAATGTGAAATTAATTACTTACAGTTTTGTGTACCGGTTCAATAAAATATTTATACAATTTTTTACTGGAAACTCTATGACAATTGTGATGAATAATCCGAGGCCCACTGAGTAAACCCAATCTGCTGTGAAATATTTAAACTGCAAAAAAAACGTTTACTTTACAAGGTAGCTCTCTCAATGGTTTGTGTACTACATGAATTTAATATTTATGTACGAAATGCTCGGACTTAGTACAAATGTACTCGCCCTTGTCCGACTTTTTCCAACTAAATCCCTTTTTTAAAAATTAAAATCCGCTTTTTATCTAGTATTACATGAAAAAAATCATTGTGGTCCCTATTATATGAAAGCAGTAAAAGTTACATTACTCGTTTCTTCGGTGTGAAAACTTACTGAATTATAGAAAGAAAAAGTAGACGTAGTTTTTGCTGTCCCAAATTCATAATGGTAAATTAATAAGTGACTTAAATAAACTGAGTAAGTGATTCGAGAAAGAGGTTGCAGCCATCTTGCTGATAAAATATTATAATGACTTTCTAAACAGAAATATAATAATTTTTGTTATCTAATTACTCTGTTAAAAATTATTAAAAAATAATTTATTTATTTACCTAAACCATTTCCTATTGTCAATAATAGAGGAATAGCACATAAACAGAAAGCAAAAATCGGTCTGTGCAGACTTGCGTACAAAGCCCTCTGAAAATTAGTTGTTTTCCAATTTGGATCTATGAAAAATGTTCCACTCCAAGTTGTAATTAAAATTAGAATAATTGAAATAGTAAATAAAATTTTTGACCATGTCTAAAAAATTAAAAAGACCAAGATAAAATTAATTAGAGTATTAAACTATTAACATTGAACTATTATCGGAGACTATTATTAATTAATTAATTACATTTATTTACATAATTACAATCATTATTTTACCTCCGAAAGTCGCCAGTTAACTTTTTTATAATCATACATGAGAATTCCGAAAATTAATCCAATAATATAAGTTGACGAACGTACATGAGTTTTAACGTAATAATTGATAAAATAATCACTATCTTCTATTCTTCTTTGACTGTAAAAGAATATCATTCGTACACGGAGAAAAATAAATAGTAATAATTATACTATTTTCGATGAAAAATTACTACTTTTAAGTAGTAATTTTGAAACTGCTCGAAAAATAGTAACTTTTGCTTCGTATTCAAACGATTTTTACTTTTTTGAAAAAGTATAATTTACTTCAAGGAATCTAAATTTTATTAAAAGCCGAGTAATATTTAAAATGTCCCGAGCAATTAATACTCTGAGCGAAGCAACTTTTATTACGAATCAGAGCAATTATTACTATTTCGGTAAAGATTTTTACTCGTAAAAGTAGTAATCCGTACCCACACAATGACGCGCCTCACACCGACGGGCGAAACGAATGCCGGCGCGCCTGCGCGTCTGTCCACGCCGTGACGAAAAAAAATGCTGGTGTAGAGAGCTGTATTGTCTCGTTTTATTTTAATAAATTAAAATAAAATAATCAGTGCGTTCAAAAAATATGTTTTCAAGTAATTAACAATCTGCATGTGTATTATTATTCATTATTCATAAGTTTTACTTTTTTTTCACATTCTTACTTACAATTAACAACTTAACATATCGGAAAATCTTAACATCTATACAGTTTCGAACCCTACCTAACTTATATCTAACGCAACCTAAAATCGCACGCATTTATACTAAGCCTCTCGGCTACGCAATCGCTATGGAGAAAATTTCATGTTACCCGCATATATCTCTTTTCGATAAAGTGAATCATACATTATATTTATTTAGATAAGTTACTGAATTAAAATATAAACATTTATAATAATAATAATAATAAACAGTATTATTAATTTAAAATTACTTATTTTAATTATTAAATTATTAGATTATAATGTTAATGATTTCATTTATTTATATAATTTTTATTAATTAATTAGAAATTCATTAAAAATTAATTAACTAATTATTAAGTGATTATACATGAATTGCATACTTTGGAAATTGATAAATAATTAAAATGCATATAGGAATTAATGATTGCACCACTGATATAAACAAAATTGTCCAAATAACTGAACCGTGCTACACGTGCTTCTTGCAACCTAGAAATGTTGGATCACTTTGACGTCAGGTTACGGTCGCTGCGCATGACAGTAGTGACGTGATCACACACATAGGTGTGTAACAGTAGTGGTACGGATTACTACTTTTACGAGTAAAAAGTTTGTTCTGCAATAGTAAAAGTTGCTTCTTGCAGAAGCAATCTTTATTTTCCGCAGTATTAATTATTAGAATTTCTACAAGTAATATTTACAACATATCGAATGTAAAAAGTAATACAAAATTTAATAAAATTTACAATGACGATGTAAAAATTAAAATTCTTAAAGCAATTTTTAAACGTGACTACTGTAATAATTACTATTAGTAATTTTTACTACCAGAAATAGTAATTTGTACTTCATGCGAAGTACATTTTACTATGAATAGTAATTTTTAATATAAAAGTAGAATTATTACTATTCTATAGGAACTTTTACTAGAAATTCAGCACCATTTTTCTCCGTGTATTAATTAATTATTATAACTTTTAAATTATTAAGAAATCGCTAGGTATTGTAATTACTTACGCTGAAATTGATTTAAAAATTGGATCCGAATCATTTTTGTATGTAAAGTAAAAAGTTATCACAATTGAACAGATTAGAGCACAATTAATAAATATGTAACCAATTTTTCGTGGCATTTTATAAAATGCTCTTATTAATAATAATCCAATTATGTAACATTGGACATCAATCGCTAAATACCAAGACTGAATAACGCACTGAACAAAAATAATCATAAAGTAATTAATTAATTAATTAATTAATAATTAATTAAATGATACAAAAAATGGAGAAATTTCTTTTCATTAAGTACTCTCTTAATCTGTAACAGTAAAATTTTAACTGTGTGTTACTACCTTATTATTTCCGCCAAAATAATTATTGATAAAAAATAAATTTGTCCACCAATAAGAAGAACAGGAATTTCTAGTGAATCCCATAATTGATTCCCAAAATGGTCCAGAACCTAATCTGTAAAAAATCGTCGCATACCCGAGTGTTACAAACATATAGAGTGGCAACAATCTGAAAAAATTAATTATTAAAATTAGATATTTGATGTAAATGTAAGAATGTAATTTTGTAAGAATTATTTAATGTACCTTACTATTCGTTTGAATACCAGAATGAAGAAATTAAAATTTTTACTCTCATTCCAATAACTTAATAAGGAGAAGGACAGTAAAAGTCCTCCTAATCCAAAGAATCCATCTATAATCAAAGCCGCATTTTGCAGAATTCCGAAAGCTTTTTGACTTCCAGCCTACAGAATCATTAAAGTAATATAGTCACTTCTTTATTCAGCAAATAACTTTGAAAAACATCTTTATAATTATCTTTATCTTTTTTTATCTTTATAACATCTTTTATTTTTTTTTATCTTTTTTTTATTTTATACTTAAAAAAATTATAATGTGTCCCTTATATCGATGGTTTAGAAGAAAAACCTGCTAAATCACATTCTTATGATTTTTGGCCCCATATCTAAAAGTTTTATAAATAAAGAAAACTTCCAAGCAATAATAATTTGTTTATTATAAAAATAACTTTGTAGGTTGAAGTTTTATTATTTATGATATAAAACAAATCATTTCATAGCCCAGGTTTACATTCTGAACCATCGATAAAAATTAAATCAATCAATGATAATTTTTCTTGTATATAATTATGATTTTATCAGTATAATACCCATTCAAAATATAATGCTGAAATAGTCCCAGTATAAATATATTGAAATTGTCTGTGGCCAAGAATTGTAATTGCTGATAAAAGAACTCGAAAAAAGTGGATAGAATCAAATCCTTTATGTTGATAATTCACCCTGAAAATCTCGTTAAAGTTTCTACGGGCTGAAAAGCAGAGAAGCAAAGAGGATTCTTTGTTTTGGTCAGAATTTACATCAATCACAGTGACGATTATGACCGCAGTTAGCAGTGATAAAAAAATAAAACTGTAAAAAGAGTTTCAATTAGGTGCTTTTATTTTGTTAATAGTTTATTTATTTTTTTATTTTGTTAATAATTGTTATTAGTTTTAATTATTAATGTAAAATACCATTTCATTAAAATATATCATTAGCATTACCTTAAGTGGAAATTAAACATTAACAAAATATAATTTAAAAAACTTTAATTTTTATTTAATAATAGAAGTAGAATGTCTTACCAGAAAAGCATATCATAGGTCGAAAATTCTGGAACTTCTTTAGAAGTTAGAGAACAGTACATAGGCAAAATTGATGCTTGGACTTTAATATTATAATTTTTGCCAAATTCGTCTAAAGGTTCTTTAAGTGCCATCACAATATCTTCTGGTTGACATTCCGAAGGGAAACATAATGCCATTTGCAAAAAGTACCTTTGCCATCGTCGAAAATCGCCCTTTTCCTTAAATTAAAATTTTTATTTATTCTAATATCTTGCAAACGAAAAAGAATTTTCCAAAAACAATTAATTATTTACCCGAATTGCTTCCCAAGCAGAATTTTGCGGATCGAAAAATATTTCGTATTCACCAGTGAAATTCGTTGGTTCATTTTTTTCTTTAAACTTCACATCCACCAGACAATATCTACTGTGAATTTCCTCAATTTTTCCATCTTTTTCATCTGTTATTTTAGTTTGAATTCGTTCGCACTGGTCATAACTTCCCAAATGCCGTGTGAAACCATTGAACACACCATAGGGATATTTTGAAGATGCATCAAACACTGCAAATCAGTGAAAATTATATTAGGTGTGTGAATAAAAAACTTACTTTTTCTACTTTTCAGTTCCTTAGAATTTATTAGGAAGTAAGCGTAAAATATAAAAATGAGTTCAAAAACTTTAGGCAAAATGCTGAGAGCATAAAATTTAGGTCATTTTAAGACTCAAATTACATAAACTCTGTGCTTTAAGTTGCAAAACATTAAAAGGTATAACGTTGAATATGTAAAATCACTAAGGAAAACAAAAAATTGTTTTTTCGGAGAATTGAATTAATTGTTTAATCGGAAAATAGAATATATGTTAAAATAAGTACTCACTTTCAGTGGCCCATAAAGTACCATTTTTTAAATGCTTGAGATACAACAGTAGTTGTTTTTTACAAGAACCTTCGGGAATTGAATTCGAAGTTGCCACTATTATTGGCAACAAAGGAACATTCAAAAACCAAGAAGATTTTTCACCACTTTTACTTTTTTCACTAATTACATTTCTCTTCAAATATTTATCAATTTGCAAATCTTTATCGAAATTTGATATATCTTTTGTTTGCAAAACTTGGGAATTTAAAGCAAAAAACACAAAAATAACACACGTTCTAAAAGAAAACATAATTTCTTGTCCTCCTCAAAGGGATATATACTAAAAGGATACAAGGGTGAAGGGATATACTAAACTTGTAGTAATTTTAGAGTACAAATAAATTAGAACCAACTGAAACTAATTCATAGAACTATTATACTTTGTAAAATTAATTACATGTTTTCCGTCATTACACGCGCAGCCAAGATTCTACTCTGTCAATAAATTATTATTATTGTAAATGCTTTAATCAATTATGCAAAGTCGTCATATGTTTTTATTTAAGAAAAACAATGTTGCATAGAGTTTATTTAATGATATATGCAAAAGACAATTTCTAGTAAAAAAAAGACAATTTCTAATTACTTTGTTCTCCAGTCTATAATAAAAAATTGATTTGTTAACAAGAATCCACTTTTTATTTCCACTTTTATTAATGTAAAAATTTGATAAATAAAAAAAAAAGTTGGTTGAATGCAATTACAGTCGAACCTGGATAAGAGAGAACTGGATAAGCGAGAAACCTCTATAAGTGAGAGTTATTTGCTGGTCCCGTGACTTAGACTTCTGTAGTTAAGAAACTGGATAAGCGAGAAACCTCTATAAGCGAGAGAAAATTGCCGGTCCCTTGAACTCTCGCTTCTCCAGGTTCGACTGTATATACTTTACTGATGAAAAAAACTATAATTAATCATAGGCTTCCTGGATTGTCGATTAATGATCAAGATCAATTCATTTTATATCCTAACTTATTTTCTTTTGATTCTAATCATAGAGGCTGATTTTTAAAACAATGATTATAACAATTTATGCCTGTACTTTTAGTAGAACTATATTTAAAATTATTTGAAAAGTTCTTTTTGCTAAATAAATGTTTATAAAGAAATTTTTTCGGGCGAACTAGAATAGTCCATTTTTATATATACAGTCGAACCTGGATAAGAGAGAACTGGATAAGCGAGAAACCTCTATAAGTGAGAGTTATTTGCTGGTCCCGTGACTTAGACTTCTGTAGTTAAGAAACTGGATAAGCGAGAAACCTCTATAAGCGAGAGAAAATTGCCGGTCCCTTGAACTCTCGCTTCTCCAGGTTCGACTGTATATAGAAATGTAAGAATTACAATAATTATACGCTAAATTACAATATTGAATTGCAATTTAGCAATATTGAATTGTAATTACAACTTCAACCTTTTATTGCTATTTTATGATTTTTTGAAAAACGGAAAAATGTTTTTCCATCCTGTTCAGATTCATAACTGAATAAATAACTTTTTATACGTAATTATTCGTACATTTTTCATTTCTTTTGATATGAAAAAAAGGGTTTTAGTACATTTTAAATGTTCTAATGAAATAAAAAATTCTACTATGTGTGATAAAAGGTTCGTAATAGTTGCAAAGTGTCAAAAAAAAAATCTTTCTATTCTTGCTGATATTATTCGGTCTTTTTTTGAGTATCAGTTGATCTGAAAAGAAGATTTTGTTAAGAACAGTTAAACAGTATAATGTACAACTTATTAAAAAAAATTTAATGTTTAATAAAAATGAATGATTAATGTTACATTCACAACTTACAGTATTCGTTTCTGACAATTTGTGTACGTCTCGAACAAAATATTTATACAATTTTTTACTGGAAACTCTAGTATGAATGCGTAGAATAGTCCGATGGCTATTGCGCAAGTCCAATCCGCTACGAAATATTTTAACTGTAAAAAAACATTCAGAAATAGTAAATGTTATTCTGGAAATAATAATTTTTAATAGAACATTTTCTGTATTACAGGATAAGTTAAACAACACATGTTCCTGTCGAGTTGTTTGTTTCGTAAGTAAACATATTTTGAAATATTTATAATTATGTAAATCCTAAGTATAATGTTTAAAATTTGTCCAAATTCGCTTGAAACTCAGTGAAAAATATTCCAAACAAAATTTAATTATTCTATCATTGTGAAAACTTACTACATTGTAAAATGAAAAAGTAAACGTAGTTTTTGTTGTCCCAAATTCATAATGGTACATTAAGAAGTGACCTAAACAAATTGAATAATTGATTCGAGAAAGAGGCTGTAACCATCTTGCTGATAAAATATTGTACACAGTATCTAAACAGAAAGGTAATAATTTTAGTCATTTAATAATTAATTTTCTTAAGAAAAATTATTAAAAATTCTTTAAATAACCTAATCCTTCTCCTATTGTCAATAATAGAGGGATAGTACAGAAACAGAAAGAAAAAATTGGTCTGTGCAGGCTTGCGTATAAAGCTTTCTCCAAAGCTGTTGTTTTCCAATTTGGATTCATGAAGTATGTTCCACTCCATATTGCAGTTAACATAACGATGATTGAAATAACAAATATAATTCTTGACCATGCCTAAAATATATGAGAACAAGTTAAAATTAACTGGAGCAATCAAGCAGTATTAGCATTGAACTATTATTAATCACATTTTTTTATATCACTAGCTAAAATATTTATTTATATTACAATCATTGAATTTACCTCTGAAAGTTTCCAATTCGCTTTTTTGTAATCATACATAAAAACTCCGAATATTAATCCAATAATATAAGCTGACGAACGGAAATGTGTTTTATCATAGTAATTCAAAAAATAATCACTATCTTCTATTCTTCTTTGACTACAAAAATTATAATTCCTATTCATTAATTATTATTAAACAATATTAAATTATTGAGCATTATTTATCAAATTAATAGAAACTCCATTCTTGAATATCAATATTTTTGGAAAGTTTGTTGATAAAGATTTTGATTGACAAGAACTATAATGAATCAACTATTATAATTTTTACATTGTTACGAAAACGTTTTTTTATTTACTTACGCAGACAGTTTTTTAAAAATTGGATCTGAATCATTTTTGTATGTAAAGTAAAACGTTATGACAATTGAAAAAATTAAAGCACAATTAATAAATATGTAACCAATTTTTCGTGGCATTTTATGAAATGCTCTAATTAATAATAATCCAATTATGTAACACTGGAAATCGATCGCTAAATACCAGGACTGCACCACACACTGAAGAAAAATTATCATAATGGTTATTATTTAAATGATAAGAAGTTAATTATTGATTCATATGCAGTGAAAATGTCACTAATTTTGTATTAACCTTATTATTGCCGCCAAAATAATTATTGATAAAAAGTAAACTTGTCCACCAATAAGAAGAACAAGAATTTCTATAATATCCCATAATTGATTCCCAAAATGGTCCAGAACCTAATCTGTAAAAAATCGTCGCATATCCAAGAGCCATAAACGCAAGGACTGGCCATAATCTGTGAAAAAATTAATTATTAGGTAAAATTAGATAATTAATGTAATTTTATGATTATTGATTTATTTAATTCTATTCGATCGAAGTTCCACTGTATTTTATTCATTGAGATAAACATTTTTTGTAAGAATTACATAATGTACCTCAGTATTCGTTTTAATAACAGAAAAAAGAAATTAAAATTTTTTTCTTCATTCCAATAAACCAGTAAAGAGAAGGACAGTAAAATTCCTGCTAATCCGAAAAATCCATCCATAATCAAAGAAGCATTGTGCAGTAGGCCGAAAATAGTTTTAGATAAAAGCTGCAAAATTATTGTTATAATTGTCTCTTTGTGTAGCAAATAAGATTTTTTAAAAACATCTTTACAAAAGATTTTTAATTTCTATCATAACAAGGATTTAGAGTGTAAATCAGCTAAAATTATATTTTCAAATATTAATATTATCCAAAATGCAATTTTTTTTAATTATCTATGATTTTATCAGTAATACCCATTCAATATATAGTCCTGAAATAGTTCCCGCATAAATGTATTGAAACTGTCTATGACCAAGAATTACAATTGCTAACAAAACAACTCGAAAAAAGTGGATAGAATCAAATCCTTTATGTTGATAATTCACCCTGAAAATCTCGTTAAAATTTCTACGGGCAGAAAAGCAGAGAAGCAGAGAGGTCTCTTTGTTTTGGTCTGAATTTACGTCCATCCAAGTGGCGATTATGACCATACTTACCAGTGATAGAAAAATAAAACTGAAAATTAAAGAGGAATTTAAATTATAAGTTTATATTTTGTTAATTTATACCTACTATTAATTTTAATTATTTAAAATAATAATGTTTCATTAAAAGGTGTTAATACCATTAACTTAAGTAAAAATGTAGCATTAATAAAATATAATTAAAATAAATATTTCATTTGTTTTAAATAGAGGAAGTAAAATATCTTACCAGAAAATTAAATCATAAATAGAAAATAGTGGAAGTTCTTTAGAACAGTACATAGGTAAAATTGATGCTTTGACTTTAATATTATAATTTTTGCCAAATTCATCTAAGGGATCTTTAAGTGCCACCACAATATCTTCTGGTTGACATTCCGCAGGGAAACATAATGCCATTTGCAAAAAGTACCTTTGCCATCGTCGAAAATCGCCCTTTTCCTTGAATTCAAAATTTTTATGCTAACATCTCTTGAACGAAAAAGAATTTTCCAAAAACAATTAATTATTTACCCGAATTGCTTCCCAAGCAGAATCCTGCGGATCGAAAAATATTTCGTATTCACCAGTGAAATTCGTTGGTTCATTTTTTTCTTTAAACTTCACATCCACCAGACAATATCTACTGTGAATCTCCTCAATTTTTCCATCTTTTTCATCTATTATTTTAGTTTGAATTCGTTCGCACTGGTCATAGCTTCCCAAATGCCGTGTGAAACCATTGAACACGCCATAGGGATATTTTGAAGATGCATCAAACACTGTAAATCAGTAAAAATTTTACTTTTATTAATTCAGTGAGTGACTTTTCTTCTATAAATCAGTGGAAATGATTTAAACTTTTATTCCGCCATTTTAAATATTAATAAAAATATATTTTCATTAAAAATACTGAATGGTATACCATTATGTAATTTCAAAAGATTTAAATATGAATAAACAAATTTTTTTTATAAATTTTGTTTCTTGGATCTTTTTTGTCCCGAAAAGGATTTTTTAACCATACTGTATAGTGGTTAACAAAACAACTTTGAATTCAAAAACAAAAATTTTGACGTTCAATATATAGAAAATTACTCGTAAAAACATACAGTAAGAAAAGCTACATGTCAGTCATAGGGAAACATGCATTTTGCATAAGTCTACCTCACTTCCACTCATGGGCTATGACTGACATGGTAGTTTTTCTTAATGTATAATCACAAGAATATTTTGCGAGATATTATAATGAGAGAATATAAAATATGTTAAAATAAGTACTTACTTTCAGTTGCCCATAAAGTACCATTTTTTAAATGCTTGAGATACAGTTGTAGTTGCTTTTTACAAGAACCTTCAGGAATTGAATTCGAAGTTGCAACTATAACTGGCAATAAAGGTACATTTAAAAACCAAGGAGATTTTTCACCTTTTTCACTTTCTTCACTAATTACATTTCTTTTTGAATTTTTATCAATTTGCAAATCTTGATCGAAATTTGATATTTCTTTTGCATGCAAAACTTGGGAATTTAAAGCAAAAAACACAAAAATAACACAAGTTCTGACAGAAAACATAATTTTTTGTTCCTTCCCGTGCAGAAATTTTGACCGGGGCCATGGCACTTTGCCCGATCTGGCCGCCCTGTCGGGACCCGGTCGGGGCCATGGGATTTCCCCCGATCTTTTCGCTACCCAGGTAGAATTCCAATACTGACTGCATTTTATTATATTAAAGCTTGTTATTTGATTATTAAAGAATGGGGAGTATTTACTTCAATATTAATGATTATTATTAATATTTTTGTAGTAAATAAACTTTTATGAGTGTCATTAAAAATGTAAATAGTTATTAGAATTGCTTTTATTGGACTAAGTTTTTAAAAAAAATATTTTTCTTATTTTCTTTCATTAATTTAGACAGACTATCTTATTTAAATTAATAATTATTTATAATTATTATTATTGTTAATAATTATTTAAACCTATACTTTATGTAACATTATTAAGAATTATACACAAAACACTTAAAACTAAGACGGAAAAATATCGCACGCACGGGGGACCGAACCCTAGACCTCGAGGACGCAAGTCGAATACACATACCGCATAGCCACGCAAGCTTGGAAGCGACCTCGCTTAAACTTCCTTTTGAATCATGGGACCGTTATATACAGTGTTATCATAATAAATTGACTGTATCATATTTATTTATAGAAAAATTATTAAAAATGTATGTTATATATATATATATATATATATATATATATATATATATATATATATATATATATATATATAAATTAATATGTTTATCATAATAATATGGTAAAAATTGTTAATTTAATTATTTATTCTATATTATTTATAATTTAACTATTTTTTAAAATAATAAAAATTTTTTCATTATTAATAATTCACAATAATACTAAAAATTATTAATTAATAATAATTTATTTTTTTGCCTTAAACATGGAATTTCAATTTAAGTGTGAAAAACAATTAAGAGTTTTTAAGAGTTATAAATGTCAAAAATAATATGTTAATATTATAACCACAAAAAAATTTAACATTTTAGGCAATATTTTTGGTTATCACCATGATAACATCGACAAATGGTTCACCTTCGACAATTGGTGCGTTTGTCCTATTGTTTTAAATTAAAGGAGAATAAATTCTTAAGACATCCCTCGAGGACAATTTTTGAGTTTTTAATTGTTTATAATTTTTATTTTCAAATTTCAATCAAAGTTAACAAATTAACACAATTTTTTAAAAACGGACGTTTATTTTCTTATTCCGTTACTGCACATGCTCTAAATCAGTTCAAATTAATCCAATATTACCAGCAGACAATTAAAAACCCATAAAGTAATATATTTCAATTGTCATAAACAACATTAATTAACAAATAGTTAACTTATGATCCTGTCCAACAGAAAATTTTTGTTGCAAATTTTCTTTTTTACTTAGGTTCTTTTAAAGAATATATGTCTTTTTTGCTTATAATATAACTTATTTAAATATTTAATATTATATATCCGTGGTCTTTTAACATTATCTAAATAAAAAAGTAAACGTGAAAAAAAAATTTTTGGTGGAAAGGAACAAAAATTAACTATTTGTTAATTAATATTATTTGTAACCATTTAAATAAGTTATTTTTTAAACAAAAAGGACACATATTTTTAAAATGAACTTAAATTAAAAAGTAGACGTGAAAAAAAATTTTTTTGGTGGACAGGAGCATAAGTTACATAACTATTTGTTATTTAATATATTGTTTATAACAATTTAAATAAGTTATTTTTTAATCAAAAAGGACAAATATTCTTTAAATAGACTTAAATTAAAAAGAAAATGTGAAAAAAAAATTTTTAGTGGAATAGGAATCAATGTTAACTATTTGTTAATTAATATTGTTTATAACAATTTAAATAAGTTATTTTATAATCAAAAAGGGCAAATATTCTTTAAATGAACTTAAATTAAAAAGAAAAGGTAAAAAAAACATTTTTTAGTGGAAAGAAATCAAAGTTAACTATTTGTTAATTAATATTGTTTATAACAATTGATATAAATTACTTTCTGTTTTATTAATTGTGTGGTGGTCATATTGTATTAATTTGAACTGATTCAGATCATATGCAGCAACGGAATAAGAAAATAAGCCTCCTTTTTTGAAAAACTGTATTAATTTGTTAACTTTGATTGAAAATAAAAATTATAAACAATTAAGAACTAAAAAATTGACCTTAAGGGATGTCTTAAGAATTTATTCACCTTTAATTTAAAATAAAGAATACTGAAACCGGTTAAGAATTGTAGGCTGTAGACAGATTTGAACAGTAAATTGTAAAAAAAATCCCATTGTGCGCTGTTTGTAGATCCTTGGGCAAACCCGGCCTGGTCCTGGTCGGGGCCACGAAGTCGGGGCCAGATCATGAAATCCCGACCGGGGCCAGGGCGGTAATCGGGAACAAAAGTGGCGATTTCTGCACGGGTTGTGAAATTAGGAAATATACTAAATTTGGAATAATTGTAAATTTCAATTAAATTATAATTAAATAAATTAGAACTAAAATCTAAATGAATTGGAACCAACTTTAATTAGTTCACAAGACTATTGCACTTTGTAAAACTAAAGACAGCTTTTCCGTCATTACACTCAAAGACGAGATTCAACTCTGGCAATAAGTTATAATATTAATGCCTTTATCAATGATGTAAAGTCATAATGTTTTTATTTAAGAAAAAAATTTTGCAGAGAGTTTATATTAATAATATATGCAGAAGACAATTTCTAATTTCTTAGTTACTACTTTAGTCTACATAAATAGAAAAAATTTATGTGTTTACAAGAATCTAAATTTTATTTCCTTTTTATAAACGTAAAAATTTGTTCACTGTGAAAAAAGTAGCTTAATGCAAATAATCTCCATTGATAAAAAAATACTGTAAATAGCTATTGGTTTTCTTGATTGCTGACTCTTAATTAAGATCAATACTTTTTTTACCTCCTAGTTTATCATCTAATAAGAATTGAAATCTCATTATTTGATTTGATCTTTCTTAATCGTCAGTCATTAATACTTTTTTCGATATGATCATAGAGGCTATGCTGATATGTCTACTAATTAAGTAATCGTGAATCTAAGCGAAGAGCTCCTTGGTTTTTAAATGTACCATTATTGCCAGTAATTGTTGCAACTTCGAATTCAATTCCCGAAGGTTCTTGTAAAAATCAATTACTATTGTATCTTAATAATTTGAAAAATGGTACTTTGTGGGCTACTAAAAGTAATTTTAAATTTTTAATAGTTTAAAAATTTTGTAATTTTGGTCCTGGAGAGGAAGAAAAAAGAAAAACCGTAAACAATTATTACTTACAAATTTCATTTTAATAGTATCAATAAATATAATTCTAATGAAATGTTCTTTTTAGGTCAGGGATTATTCAAAAAAAAAGGAGAAATATATATGAATTAATTATATTTTATCTATCTTAATTTATTATCACATAAAATCTGTACATTTTTAAAAATGACACATTACTCCAACTATTAAAAGCATCAACCTACATGCATTTGATTTGTAATCGAAAATTAGACTTTCATGTGCGAAGTTTTCTGAATGAAATGAATGTGATAATTTTACATTTATAATAATTAAGAACTATTTTTATATTTCAATATTTTGAAAATCTAAGAAACGAAGAATTATTAATGTAAGTAGCCGGAAGGTCATTTTATACATCGTTACATATTGCAATGAAGATGAGTGATAATCATTTATAAAATTTTTTGTATTTTTGTTAAATTTAAATTAAACAAATATTAATAGTCTTATACAATTGTTACTAGTTGTTTTTATACTTAAAAATTACTCATTTCACAACATTGTTATTTATCTTTAACACAAACTCAATTTCAGTTCTTCGATTAGTAGTGTAAGACAGATTCAGTCGGGCGGTAATATTCCAATTTTTATAGTGTTCTTTGTATTTGGTTAGTAGAAATCAATTTTGGGAAGTCAACCACAGAATTTTGTCATCTCCGTATTAAAGTACATGTTCCAGTCAAGCGGACCTCATGAAATTCTTCTATTCTTGATGATGTTATTCAATCTTTTTTTGAGTTTCAGCTGACCTGAAAAGAAGATTTTGTTAACAGTAAGAGAATACAGATCTTATTCAAAAAATCATAAAGTATTTAATGTGGAAATAATTACTTACAGTCTGCTTCTCTGATGATTTGTGTACCGGTTCAATAAAATATTTATACAATTTTTTACTGGAAATTCTATGACAATTGTGATGAATAATCCGAGGCCCACTGAGTAAATCCAATCTGCTACTAAATGTTTAAACTACAAAAAACGTTTACTTTACAAGATAACTCTCAATTGTTTGTGTACAAAATGAATTTAATATGTTTATATTTTTGAATCCCTTTTTTAAAAATAAAAATTTCCTTTCAACTAATAATGCATGAAAAAATCATAGCCATGCCTACTATTTGTAAGTAAAATAAGTAAAAAATATTTTTTCCAGAGTAAAGTTAATTCGGATAAAAGTCAAATTTGTAGTATTTTAAAACTTTTTCTTTTTTGTTTCAGGTAAGTTAAACAACACATTTTTCCTGTCGAGTTGTTTGTTTCGTAAGTAAATATATTTTGAAATATTTATAATTATGTAAATTATTAAGTAAAATGTTTAAAAATTTACCAAATTCGCTTGAAACTCAGTGAAAAATATTCCAAACAAAATTTAATTGTTCTATCGGTATGAAAACTTACTATATTGTAAACTGAAAAAGTAAACGTAGTTCTTGTTGTTCCAAATTCATAATGGTACATTAAAAAGTGACCCAAAAAAATTGAGTAATTGATTCGAGAAAGAGGCTGTAACCATCTTGCTGATAAAATATTGTACACAGTATCTAAACAGAAACATAATAATTTTATTCATTCAATCATTATAATTTTGTTAAAAAAATTATTAAAAATTCTTAAAATAACCTAATCCTTCTCCTATTGTCAATAATAGAGGGATAGCACAAATACTAATCGAAAAAATTGGTCTGTGCAGGCTTGCGTATAAACCCTTTTCTAAAGCACTTGTTTTCCAATTTGGATTTATGAAATATGTTCCACTCCATATTGTAGTAAAAATAACGATAATTGAAATAACAAATAAAACTTTTGACCATGCCTAAAAATATAGAACAAGTTAAAATTAATTAGAGTAATCAACTATTAGCAGTGAAAAATCATTAATCATATTTATTTATATAATTACAATCATTATTGAATTTACCTCTGAAAGTTTCCAATTAGCTTTTTTGTAATCATACATAAAAACTCCAAAAATTAATCCAATAATATAAGATGACGAACGGAGATGAGTTTTATCATAGTAATTCAAAACATAATCACTATCTTCTACTTTTCTCAGACTATAAAAATTATAATTCGTATTCATCAATTATTATTAATAGTTTAATTAAAATTAATAACTCCATTTTTTTATATTAATTATTGTATAAGAAATTTTAAAAAATGGATGGAAAGTAGAACATCCAATGTACTTACGTAGAAAATTCTTTAAAAATTGGATCTAAATCATTTTGATATATAATGTAAAACGTTGTAACAATTGAACAAATCAGAGCACAATTAATAAATATGTAACCAATTTTTCGTGGCATTTTATAAAATGCTCTAATTAATAATAATCCAATTATGTAACATTGGACATCCATCGCTAAATACCAGGACTGTATCAGACACTATAGAAAAATAATCATAAAGTTATTATTTAAATAATACAAAGAAATTTTGAAATTTCGTTTAATATGTATCATTAAAACTTTAACTTATTGGTATAGAGTGAAAATGTCAGATAATTATTATTATTATTATTATTAATATTAACTATTATATCACCTTATTATTTCCGCCAAAATAATTATTGATAAATAATAAATTTGTCCACCAATAAGAAGAACAAGAATTTTTATTCAATCCCATAATTGATTCCCAAAATGGTCCAGAACCTAATCTGTAAAAAATCGTCGCATATCCAAGAGCCATAAACGCAAGGACTGGCCATAATCTGTGAAAATAAATAATTTAATTATTTAATTTTAAATAAATAATTTTAATTGTTAAAATTTATCTAATTTTTAATTATCTATTAATGGAATTTTATGATTAGTGATTTATTCAATTTTTGTGAACAGTAGAATCTCGATCTTTTGTTGATGCTATCGATTGAGGTTGCACTGAATTTTCTTTAATTGTGATAAACATTTTTTGTAAGAATTACATAATGTACCTCAGTAAGCGTTTTAATATCAGAAAGAAGAAATTAAAACTTTTTTCTTCATTCCAATAAACTAGTAAAGAGAAGGACAGTATAAGTCCTGCAAATCCGAAAAATCCGTCTATTAACAAAGGACCATTGTGCAGTAGTCCGAAAAATGGTTTAGATAAAACCTGTAAAATTATTAGTAATGTGAGTAGATATAAAGATCTCCTCGTGTAGCAAACAACATTTAGAAAAACATCTTTACAAAAGATTTTTAATTTAGAGAAATTATATGTGTTTTCTAGGGAGGATTTAGAGTGTAAATTTGCTAAAATTACATTTTCAAATATTAATATTCAAAATGTAAAGAGAGGGTTTACATTCTAAAACCTTTGTTACAAATAGAATGAATCTAAAATGATTTTAATTATATATGATTTTATTAGTAATACCCATTCAAAATATATTGCCGAAATAGTTCCCGTATAAATGCTTTGCAGTTGTCTGTGAGCTATAAATGTAATTGCTAATATAAAAACTCGAAAAAAGTGGATAGAATCAAATCCTTTATGTTGATAGTTCACCCTGAAAATCTCGTTAAAATTTCTACGGGCAGAAAAGCAGAGAAGCAGAGAGGTCTCTTTGTTTTGGTCTGAATTTACGTCCATCCAAGTGGCGATTATGACCATACTTACCAGTGATAGAAAAATAAAACTGAAAATTAAGGAGGAATTTAAATTAGGTGTTTTTATTTTATTACAACTTAAACTATTCATTTAATTATTTAAAATAATATTTCATTTAAAAATGCTATTAGCATTACCTTCAATAGAAATAACATTATTAATGTTAATAAGAGTAACATCAATAAAATATAATTCAAAAAACTATTTAATTTTTGTGTAATAATAGAAGTGGAATATCTTACCAGAAAATTATATCATAAACAGAAAATCCTGGAACTTCTTTAGAAGTTAGAGAACAGTACATAGGCAAAATTGATGCTTTGACTGTAATATTATAATTTTTGCCAAATTCATCCAGAGGTTCTTTTAGTGCCACCACAATATCTTCTGGTTGACATTCCGCAGGGAAACATAATGCCATTTGCAAAAAGTACCTTTGCCATCGTCGAAAATCGCCCTTTTCCTTAAATTAAAATTTTTATTTATTCTAATATCTTGCAAACGAAAAAGAATTTTCCAAAAACAATTAATTATTTACCCGAATTGCTTCCCAAGCAGAATTTTTCGGATCGAAAAATATTTCGTATTCACCAGTGAAATTCGTTGGTTCATTTTTTTCTTTAAACTTCACATCCACCAGACAATATCTGCTGTGAATTTCTTCAATTTTCCCATCTTTTTCATCTATTATTTTAGTTTCAATTTGTTCACACTGGTCATAGCTTCCCAAATGCCGTGTGAAACCATTGAACACGCCATGGGGATATTTTGAAGATGCATCAAACACTGCAAATCAGTAAAAATAACTCATAAAAACAAAAAATTGTTAGTTATTAAATCGAGAGTAAAATATATGTTGAAATAAATACTTACTTTCAGTAGCCCACAAAGTGCCATTCTTCAAATGATTAAGATACAATAGTAATTGATTTTTACAAGAACCTTCGGGAATTGAATTCGAAGTTGCAACAATTACTGGCAATAAAGGTACATTTAAAAACCAAGGAGCTCTTTCGCCACTCTTTTCACTAATTACATTTCTCCTCCAATTTTTATCAATCTTCAAATTTTTATCGAAACTTGGTACTTCTTTCGTAAGCAAAAATTTGGGATTAAGAACAAAAAATACAAAAATAATACAAGTTCTGAAAGAAAGCATAATTTTTGTCCTTCTTGAAATTAGAAAATGCAGTAAATTTGGATTATTTTAAATTAAATTAGAGTTTAATTTAAATAAGAATCAGATTAACTCAACTAAAATTAGTTTTATCCAACTAAAATTAGTTCACAAGACTAATGCACTTTGTAAGAATAAAGACACCTTTTCCGACATTACACACGGAGACGACATTCAACTCTGGCAATAAGTTATAATATTAATGCTTATATCAATGTAAAGTCATAATGTTTTTATTAAGGAAAAAAATTTTGCAAAGAGTTTATTTTACTAATATATGCGAAAGACAATTTCTAATTACTTTCTGCTCCAGTCTGTATGACTGGAAAAATTTATGTGTTTACAAGAAACTAAACTTTGTATCCTTTTTAGAAATGTAAAAATTTGTTATAGGTGAAAAAGTGGCTTAATGCAAATAATCTTCATTGATAAAAAAATACTGTAAATAGCTATTGGTTTTCTTAATTCCCGATTTATATAATCGAGATGAATGGCTTTTTATATTCGAATTTATTATCTAGTGATAATAAAAATCTTAAATTATTAGATTTGATCTTTATTCTTATAAATAGTTTTTTCGCTTATAATCAGAGGATGAATTTCGAGAAAAAATTATAATTTAGTAATGTTTTTCTTCTTATAAAGTTGAATGTTAATGACAATGAAAGAAAAGAAATAAAATTCTGTAATTTTAATAAAAAAGTAAATAATCATTCTTAATTTTTAAAATAAATAAACAATTTTTTATAAAATGAGGAATTTATTTAACATAAATAATATAATTTGAACAAATTAAACATTTTTTAGAAACAATTTGTTTACAATAAATTACAGAGATGAAATAAATTTTATTTCTTTTTATTTTAAAAAATTTTTTTAATCGAAAAGAACAATCGAAAGGCTTTTTATTTTTAATAAGGGTAGAAGCGCATGATCGGTAAAGGAAGGAACTTTAATATAATAAGTGGTTTTTAATGGTTTTTTTCTTATATTGATATTCAGTAAATTCTTTTTATTTCGTTTATTTCAAATATGTAAAATGGTTGCAAATTATGCAACGTGAAAGGTCGGAAGTTCGTCTTTAAATAATTCCATTATGTGACAAACAATAATTTTGGAAAATTCTAATTAGTGCTTTTTTTGTTAAATTTTTCAAAAAAGTAGTAGTCTTGTTTTGAAATTCGCATTATTAAAACATGTTTAAAGTTTTATGCTACTTTATATACGACATTTTGTGTTTTGTAAATATAATTTTTTTTTAAATTGCGCTTATTTTTTCTCTGTTTATGATTTTTAAGTATTAAATTTAAAATTCCAGAATCTATTCATTTTTAACACGAGATGAATTTCAATTGTTTGATAAATTCCCTTTTGTTGAAATTTCTTGTCTTTCACTGTTTAATTTATCAAGTGGTGTTTGGGGAACTAAGTTACAATGAATACTTGAAGGAAAATAAAGGTTTTGCATTAAGTGAATTAAATTCGACGATAAGTGAAAGAGGTGAAAAATCTCCTTGGTTTTTGAATGTACCTTTATTGCCAGTAATTGTTGCAACTTCGAATTCAATTCCCGAAGGTTCTTGTAAAAATCAATTACTATTGTATCTTAATCATTTGAAGAATGGCACTTTGTGGGCTACTGAGAGTAAGTAGCATTGTATTTTTCCTGAAAAATTAAGTTCGCAAAGATGATTTCTATAATTTTTCTTCAAGTGTTTGATTCGTCAGCCAAATTCCCCTACGGTCTGTTCGATGGTTTGACCCGACATCTGGGAAGTTTCGGTCAATGTGAAAGAATTCATGCAGAAGTATTAAATGCTAAAAATGGAAAAATTGAGCAAGTTCGCAGTAGATATTGTTTGGTGGATGTGAAATTTAAAGAGAAAATTGAACCAACTTTCAGTGGAGAACATGAAATATTTTTCGATCCACAAGTTTCTGCTTGGGAAGCAATTCGGGTAAAGAGTGAATAAACTAATGCTGCAACTTTTTAAATCTGTTTTAGTTAAATTATGACTAATTTTAAAAAAAATCTTGGCTGCATTCTTTAGTAAATTTTTTAGTAAGTAATTATTAGTAAAGAATATTTACTATTTAATAAAAGTTGTTTTCGATAATTTAAGGAAAAAGGCGATACTCGACGATGGGAAAGGTATTATTTGCAAATGGCATTATGCTTCCCAGCAGAATGTCAACCAGAGAACATTGAAGAAGCACTAAAAGAACCCCTTGATGAATTTGGCGAAAATTATAATATTAATGTCAAAGCATCAATTTCTCCATTATATTGCTCTTCTCCTACTTCTAGAAAAACATCTTTTTCCAATTACGAAATAATTTTTTGGTATTATTGATTTTTTATAGGTACATAAATTACATCATTGAAAAACAATCGATTTCTTAAAGTTTCGAATGAAGACACTGAGATTAAAACACTTACAAACGTCTTGTGTAAAAAATATTTTTAATAAAATTCAAATTTGAATGAAGTATTAAAAAAAATTGTCAAGTACTTAAACTTTTGAAACTTTAGGAACATTATTTTTGTAGTAATTGTTATTAATTAAAATTTATCCAAGAATAAGAAAATCACTTGTTTTAATGTTTCAGTTCAACATTCCTTTTAATAATTACTATTGTCACAGTAAGCACAATGTTCACAATGTTCCCTCCATAGTTGATGGAATGTTCGGTTTGGGAGGTCTTGTACTTTCCTACTCATTATTGGAAAAATTGAATGCATCAGGAAAATTGAATTACGTTAATTTGATTTTAAATCGATTAATAAGGTATACTTATTTTTTGCCATGTCGTTGCTACACTTTGACTCAAACTTTTTCACACTGAAAAAAATTCTTGTTTTAAGCCGATTCCTCTTATTTTAATGCATATTTTCCTCTTGTATATGGCTCAGAAAACCTTTAAAAACTTTTTAATTTTATCAATTTTATCAATGAAACTTATTCACTGAACGAACAAACTTATGAGTGAGGTTACAAACTTTCAAAACGGATAAAGTTTCAAGAAAAAAGTTCCAAAATTTATTTTCTTACAGCATGAAAGTTCAACTGTATCAAAAAAATTTTGCAATAAGAAATTTCAAAACATTTTCAAAACAACGTGACTATGTTTATTATATTAATAATAATTATTAATATTAAAATCTACAGATTATTACCTCTTTTCATGTTCGTAACATTTGGATATGCAACAGTATTTTATCGGTTGGGTTCGGGACCGTTTTGGGAAGTTACAGTTGGATTTAATCGAGAATCGTGTTCTTCTTATTGGTGGACGAATTTCTTTTTCATTAATAATTATTTTGGTGGAAATAACAAGGTTAAAAAAAATAAAAAATATTTCTTTTTCAACAAGTTATTAAACATTATTCTAATTTCTTTTAGTGTGTTATTCAGTCCTGGTATTTGGCTGTAGATTTTCAATGCTACATAATTGGATTATTCTTGATTACTGCATTCTACAAAATGCCTCGTAAAATTGGTTACACATTTTTAGGTTGCACCTTAATGTTTTCAAGCACACTGCTTTTTTACACAATGTATAAAAATGACGTAGATCCAGCTTTCAAATCTTTCGTAATGTAGGATTTATTTTTTTTTATGAAAATAAAAGGAAAAATCACACTGAATAAATATTGCTGTACATTCATTTTCATTACCATTGCAGACCAAACAGACCAGAAATGAATGATTTATTTCTTAATTATTACATTAAAACTCCACTCCGTTTGTCTTCTTATGTCGTTGGATTGATTTTCGGAGCAATTATTCACGATTCAAAGAAAACTAGTTGGCGTTTTTCAAAGGTAAATCTTGTAACTAAGAATTGTTAGATAAAAAATTTAGATTGAAATTTAAAAATGAAAGGATGAATTAAGAATTGTGTTTAAAATTATTAAAATTTGAACAGAAATTATTAAAATTAAATTTTTTTTTTACTTAACACAGATCTTGACACAATTTTTATACTTTAGTGTAATTCCAATATTTTGGATTTCATTTTCGAGTGCATTTTTTTTCACAACTCCAAATTTGAAAATGAGTGCTTTCACCAAAGGATTGTATGCAACTTTTTCAAGACTAACTATAGCATATTGTGCCTGTATTGTACCTTTAGTCTTCACATTTGGAAATGGTTTAGGTTAGACTATGAAAACAAATAGTTTCTTTATTGATGATAATAATTAATTTAATAGAATAATAAAATTAATCTAATAATTATCTATTATAGATTTTTATTATAATCTGATGACTGCAAGGTGGTTTCAACGACTATCAAAAATATCTTATTCAATATATATTACTCAGTTTGCAATGTTTCTGTATGAGATTGGAACATCAAGGCTAACGAATGATTTATCCGTTTACATTTTAGTAAGACAATACAACACAGTAATGAAATATAATAATCAGGCATATCGGGAAATTTTATCTAAAGTACGGGAAATGTTTTAATAAAAAATTATTTTCTTTCTTGCAGTTCAAATACTTTTTGGGAGATGCAGTGTTTATAGTGTTGCTGGGTTTATTTTTCGCTATTTTAATAGAGTATCCGTTTAAAAATTTTGGAAATTTGGTCCTGAAAAGGAAGACAATAAGGAAGCAGTAAACAATTGTTACTTACAAATTTCATTTTATTAGTGTCAATAAACGTAATTCTAATGAAATGTTCTTTTCAGGTCAGGGATTATTCAAAAAAAGGAGAAATAAATATGAATTAATTATATTATATCTTAATTTATTATCACATAAAATCTGTACATTTTTAAAAATGACACATTACTCCAACTATTAAAAGCATCAGCCTACATGCATTTAATTATTGTAATCGAAAATTAGACTTTCATGTGCGAAGTTTTCTGAATGAAATAAATGTGATAATTTTACATTTATAATAATTAAGAACTATTTTTATATTTCAATATTTTGAAAATCTAAGAATCGAAAAATTATTAATGTAAGAGGCCGGAAGGTCATCTTATACACCGTTACCAATTGTAATGAAGATCCATGGATTGCTACGTAACCTGAAAACCCTGTAAATGTCAGGGAACCATGGCAGAGTCAACCTCCAAAGGAGGTCCAATTTTCTACACAAGAGAAAATCGATTGCGAAAAGGCAATCAATGTTCTAATTGGGAAAAAAGCAGTCTCCAAATGTTCACCTGACAAAAAAAAATTTATTTCCACATTTTTTCTCACCTAAAAATCAAATGGGAAAAAAAAATTCATTCTAAATTTAAAAAAATTGAATGAATTTTTAGATCCTCCCTATTTTAAACTCGAAGACAGGAAGACAGTTTCTAGAATGCTCTTTGAAAACGCTTTTATCCCTACATAAAACGTCGCATTCAAAAGTATTTAAATGTATTGATAGTTTGAATGCGTTTTTAATCCCGTTTTCTGATGCGTCGAAACGCCATTAAAAAGTATTAAAATGTATTCAACTTCATCAAGTTTAATGCGAATTACATTCTTTAAATTGCATTAAAATGTATTGATTGTTATTTTGAACGAATCTTGTATAATAAAGTAATATTTAATCGCATTCAAACGAAAGTGATAAACTGTATTAAATAGCATTCATATTTCCTAAGAATTTCTCTTGTATACAGTCGCATTCAATTGCATTGAAAGTTATGCAAAGTTCCATAATAAAAAGTATTCATATTTTTTTGTATTTTTCGTGTATTAAATCACATTTCTTTCAAAGCGATAAACAGTATTAAATAGTATTCACATTCTTTTAAAATTGCTCTTGTATTCACTGGCATTCAGTTGCATTAGATGTAATGTGAGCTTTCACATTAAAAAGTATTAACTTTGTGTTTGAATGCGTAATTGTCGAATAACGCGATTCAAGGCATGTTATCACCAATGCAAAGCAATACTTTTGAATACGACAGTTTATGTAGGGATGGCCACTTTAGATTTATCTGATGCCTTTCTTTTAATTCCAGTGACAGAAACAGACAGAAATAAAACTAGCCATAAAACTTAGGTTCCAGTCGCCTTTCTCGGTAATTTATCAAGATGATTTTCTCCTAATTGGGAAAACAAAAGATCAATGCCTAAAAAACATCATTGTAACAATCCTGCGATTTAAAAAGAAAACAAAAAATAATTAAAAAGCGTAATGAGGAGACACTGGGAAGTACGCCCCTTAGTGTGAGAGGAACAAGTGTTTTGGTGCAAGCTTTAGAAAATCTGTGGATCGGATCGGGCAACTAGCGTTACTACAATTCATCTATAGGACGAGACTCACTGGCATAATTTCCATTGAACGCCACTTAGGTAAGTTCGTTTAATCGTTCAATTTTTAATCAAATTCAGCCACTGACTTGAACAAAGTTTTTTGAGCTCCCAAAGTTATTTAAAAACTTTACAACTTGTGCAAAAATTAAAATTTGTGCTTATCGCGGGACTTTAAATTTTTTTCACATTTAGCTAACTGGTCGATACGAAAAAAAATTATAATTTTCAATCAAATTCAGCCACTGGCTTAAACAAAACTTTTTTGAGCTCCCAAAGTTATTTAGAAACTTTACAACTTGTGCAAAAATTAAAATTTGTGCTTATCGCGGGACTTTAAATTTTTTCAGATTTAGCTAACTGGTCGATATGAAAAAAAATTATAAATTTCAATCAAATTCAGCTCCTGACTTGAGAAAAGTTTTTTGAGTTCCTAAAGTTAATTAGAAACTTTACAACTTCGGTTGTAAACAAGAAAGCATGAGATATAACCTATAAAAACATCGCGCATTTGACCATAGACATTAGAAAAGACTGCGCAAGTGGATTGAAATTCAGCTTGTGATATAGAAAGAGACATCAATGCGTTTGACTGAGACGGATAGAGCAGAAGAACCGATTGTCAGACTCTTTCTACCGCACGGCATGCTTTGGAGTGAGGGAGAAAAAGGGAGTTCTTACGCTCTATCCGTCTCTTTTTATACCACCGGCTTACTCCTCTCTTGGGAATCGTGAAACTCACGGGGCGGTATTCATAGTCGATACTTATTTCTTAAGCAGGGACTTAAGCTGCCACCTAGATTCATAGTCGTGCAATAAGCATTGCCTTAAGCCGCAACTTAAGCATTTGCTTGGAAAAGTAAATTGTTCGATTTTGAGATGCATAGTCCCATCTTAAGTACGCTAAGTATTCATAGTCAAATAAGATGAACTTATTTGACATTGCCGGTGAACTTATTTGAACGAATTGAGGTTATGATTTTAAGTCAACGTTTTACTTGACTTAAGCAATTACTTATTTGTCTTTTTATAAATATTTATAATAAAAATGAAAAATTTTTTATTAAAAACAATTTAATAATAATTAAAATTTAATAATTTTAAAAAAAGGTTCAAAATTTATAAAATTTTCACGAGAAATAAAAAGTATTTTTTTTCATCGAAATGTTGAAAAAACATTTCTATTTGGGAATGTGTCTATCAAATATATGCATACACACACTTACATCCGGAGAATTTGTTTCCCATGTTGAAATATTTATATAAACTATACTTGAAAATTTGTAAAAATAATTGATTCTAAGAAAATCGACATTCTATGAGGAAATGAAACTGTTAATATTAAATAATAATTATTAAAAAATACTAATTTTAAAAATTTTGTAGTTCCAAACGAAAGTTAATATTTTCACCCCTTTTGTATGCACTCTTGGTTCATTGGTTTAGGAAAAACGTAGAAAAATAAGATTTTGTTTAAAAAGTTGCAAAAAAAATACATTTTAAAATAACTTTTTTAAAAAAAAATTTTTTTTGTCGTTTATGATTGCGTTTGTTAGAAAAAATGGCCAAATAAAAATGCTTTTTTCATTTGGTTTATAAAAATACTACTTTTTTTGTAAAATTTCACTGATTCTGACACTCAGAATAATTTTTTTAGAAACAATATAATAATAGTTAAAATAATTTATTCTATCTTTTAATACAGAAAAATTTAGAATCTAAATATAATATTTTGTCAGGAATAAGAATATTTCAATTGTTCATCATACTGGTAGTTATTTCTTGTATCCATTTACTTTATAACTTTTTTCCTATAAATATTATGAGATTATGGCCGTTCCAGTATGTAAGCATATTTTAAATTTTTTCACCCCCTCCTCTCCGGTATAAGATATTTTATGTGCATTAGCGCCATTTTTTCTAATGAATATAAACTATCTACCATCGCTTATTGGTAGATACAAGAGAATATTGACGGAAAAAGCCGAACACTCAATAAGATCATCTTAAGCATTTGCTTGGTCAAGAAGTTCTTAAGCTGCATTTCCTTTACCAAGCAATTGCTTATTTTTAACTATGAATACATACGTTCTTAAGCTCGACTCATTCGAATAAGACCGACTTGATCAAGCAAAGCTTAAGTCCTTGCTTAAGTCGGGACTATGAATACCGCCCACGCAGTCTATTCTTATATGTCTATGCATCTGACAGTAGCAGACGATATTTAGTTTACTTTTTCCCCGTTAGCGACACTGCTGTCTAGGAGAGTAAAGAATAAGGCTGGAGTCCCATGACACCGTTTTGCGTTGCGTTTTGTAACTAGGCCATGAGTGTGAGAGAGATGGAGATATATGTTGCTATATTTGCACTCATGGCCTAGTTACAAAACGCAACGCGAAACGGTCCCATGGGACTCCAGCCTAATGAATTGAGATACATGAAATTGGCACACATTGTATCAGGAAGGAAGAGTAAGGAGACCGAACTCTGCTTCTACAAATGTCTGAGAAATATGCACGAAAAGTGCCAGACTCACTGTGTTCTAGTTGATCACCAATTAAGTCGATCATGCGCATTGAACTAAAGTTCAGTGTTGACATAGATGAAAAGTGTGGTTATGTCAAGGTAAATTTTACATAGTTTAAACAGTGTTAATTTTAAAAGCAAATTTATTTATTTACAATTGTGATATTATTTAGATTTTTAAAATAATTTAATAATATATTTATGAAAAAGGAAAAATTTTGCAAAAATGGTTAAGAAGAATTGTGTTTATAACTAGAGTATATTTACATACCGTACAAGGATAGAAGAGACTAATGTTTTTAGACTCTTTTTCTTTCTTTACATCCTGGCACACAACACGACATTTTTTAAATAAAATAAATAAATAATTATTAAAACGAAATGTATTGTATAATTATGTATGTATCTCACTAAGACCGGCTAAATGTAAACATTAGATCTTACATCTCACTCGCACAATTTTTACGAGAAACAGAGACACAACACAGCTTATGCGCATGATCAACTTAATTGGAGGTCGACTAGAACGCAGTGAGCCTGGCACTTTTCGTGCATATTTCTCTGAGATTTTTAAAGCGCTTTCTACACAGAGTTCGGTCTCCTTACTCTTCCTTCCTGCATTGTATGTACGTTGTTGAATCTCCTTATCCAACACGGTGCTCTATGCCTTTCTACTTGTCATTACCGAGTCTGAATGAGGTTTAGTTAAATACACTTGTAATTAATTTAAAATGTCTAGTAAATTTGATGCTAAGTATTTCGACCGTAATATCTATCGTCTTGAATGTTTAAGAAACTATTTAAAGAAAACTGAACGTGTATTTAATTTAAACTGTAGAGAAGATTGTCAGCACATACGTATAAACGGACTACGATGTACCGGAAAATTTACAGTTAAGCATGACATATCATTAGGAAAGTATTTACTCGAAGTTGGAGGAATTTCAAAATTTTTGAACACAAATTCCACTAACTTTTCAACAACAATATGTGCTTTATACGTTGCGAAAATGTAATTATTATTATTATTATTATTATTATATGTGACGCGCTGCTCGCACGGAGAAAAATAGTTAGCTATTTCAGCTAATTTTTAGCTACCTTAGCTAACCTTAATTGCTATTATACGGATAGCAATTATTGTTAGCTAATGCAGCTAATAATTAGCTAAAATAGCTAACTTGTTTTACTAAACAAGCTAATTATTAGCAGTAATAGCTAAAAATTAGCTATCCATATAATAGCAAACTCATTTTTCTTCGTGGGCGAGAAAGGTACCTAAGAAGCAAAAAATTTATTCATGTTGTGTTTGCAATTTTTAGAGTAAAAATACAGAAAGAGAATTAATTTCTGCCACCAATTGAGGGCCTGGAAAGCATAACCGACACTATGTTTACGCGCAAGCTCCTTGCTGGAGTCTGCCTCACGCAGCAACTAAGGTTCGAGCGCAGCGTCGGTTATGCTTTCCATGCCCTCAGTTATTGATGCTCAAGTGTTAATTACATAACAAATATTCAATAGAAACTGGTTTCAAATTTGCATAAATAAAAAGAAATTTTTAATCACGATAAATCAAACCCAAACATAATCTATATTTTGTTTGCTTCTTAGGCACTTTTTTTTGGAGCGAATCATATATGAGTCAAAACGCGTCAACCGTGAATAGTGAATATTTCCGAGATATTTGCATTATTTTAGAAAAAAATTAATAACTCATTACTGTTTTGCTAGAAATTAATGGCAATTTTTTTGGTAGTCATTGAATATCCACTCTTTTAAATAAACTTAATGGTGAAAAAAAATTTTGAAAAATTTTTAATTTTTAATAACAATTTTATAAACAATTAGTGCTTTTTATGCTTTCTAGAGCAAGGATTTTAATGAAATTTATATGTAAGATACATTGAACCTACATCTTTATATTCCCGAAAAAAAAAATTTGTATTTCCAATTACAACCGGAGATTTTGAATTATTTGTTGCGCCGTGCGCCGTCTGCTCGTTTACCGCGACATTTATCACAGCGATGGATGCCACGATGACGGCGCACGGCGCAACAAAAAATTCAAAATCTCCGGTTGTAATTGGAAATACAAATTTTTTTTTTCGCGAATATAAAGATGTAGGTTCAATGTATCTTACATATAAATTTCATTAAAATCCTTGCTCTAGAAAGCATAAAAAGCACTAATTGTTTATAAAATTGTTATTAAAAATTAAAAATTTTTCAAAATTTTTTTTCACCATTAAGTTTATTTAAAAGAGTGGATATTCAATGACTACCAAAAAAATTGCCATTAATTTCTAGCAAAACAGTAATGAGTTATTAATTTTTTTCTAAAATAATGCAAAAATTTTTTATTATAGAAAAAGGTATAAATATTTAAAAATTTGAAAAACGGTTAAAAGTGTTTTTTTGGTTTGCTGTGAACTACAGATTTTCATAAATGTTTTGACTTTTCCAAAACTATAAAAAAAAATGTATTCACGGTTGACGCGTTTTGACTCATATGTGACCTGGTCTATGAAAAGGGACCTTACGTGTCAAAAAATCATTTTTTACTTTCTTGTTTAAAACGCTCTTTAAGATGTTGAAATCCAAAAAGTCATAAGTTGATTAGAAGTTTTAAATTTTTTTTTTAAAGTCAAAAGAAACAAGAGTAAAAATACGAAAAAACTGATTTTTTGTTATTATACAAATTAAAATAACGAAGACGATAATTTTTTATTATTTAGAAAAGTTGACAGTTTCTTTGACAACTGTCAACAGTTAGAATTCAAATTTGATATCATATTCGTAATCAGCGACCGCAAAAAGTTTATTACTGTCTTGTTTTACAAAAAACGATCAATTTTTATAGAAGTTGACAGCTGTCAACTGTCAAATTGTCAATTTAACATCATTTTCGTAATCAGCGACCTCGAAAACCCTTACAAACATGTGTCACTTATTTATACTTATTGTTGCTAGTTAGAAAACTTAGATTATTTTTTCTATGTTTGGGGAGTTTGTTATTAATTTATATAAACAATTATTAAAAAAAAATTTTTATTACTTGTATGTTTTTTATTTTGATACTGTGATTTACGGTGAAGAAAATAAGCCTAAATTGATTAAAAAATATTAATATTTAAAAAAGTTACAAGGGTTTTTGAAAGTTAAACTTTAACTGCTGTTTTCTCGAAAACTTGCTTTCGCACGTAAGGTCCCTTTTCACTGTCCAAGTCACATATAATTATATTTATTTATTCAAAATATACTGATACGGGACATGTTATTTTACATGTTATTTTTATCAACTTTTTCATAAACAAAATAAATTAACCCAAATAGCACGTAAGCATAAAATATAAAAATTAATATAAAAATCCCCATCTTGTTTAAGGTATTATAAGACACATCAATCTGTAAAAGCTCGCAGCATAAGGCAAATATCCCTTAATACTGCAAAAAATATGCTGAGATGGTATTTTAAAATCAGCATTAAAGCAGAAATTACACATAATTATATATTAGCATTCTCAAGCTTGCTACGAAAAAGCAAAAAGAATTTTAAAGCAGCTGAAAACTTATTGGAAAGTTGTGAGGACTTCACTTTACAAGAGCGTAAAGAAATAAAAGCAAAGTTGAAAGAAAAACTGTAAGAAAATTATTTTCTAATTTTGAAAACTCATAAAATAAACTAATATTTAGTTATTTTTTAAAAATATTTTAATATTTTTCAGCCAGCAACGTTACCAAAAAACAAATAAGAAATTGATTGTGAATACGCAATATCCATAACTTTTTTGCATCAATTGAAGTTATTTATTCCAAAAATTTGCAGAGCAATGATTGGAAAAGTTAATTAACAGCGTGCTAAATATTTTCTATGTAAAATAAATAAATTTTCTTTCAATTAATTTTAAAAATTATTTCCTTTATAACCAAAAATGTTTAAATAACAATTCAATTATTGATTGTTTTAAATTATTAAACAAAATAAAATATTAATAATTACTTTTTTTGAATCGATATTTTATACGATTCTTTGAGAATCGAATATTTTGAACTCGATTTTTTAAAGAATAGAATCTATTCGTTTCGATTGCAAATTTGTGCCCATTGCGGGACTTTAAATTTCTTTCTACTGACTTGAAAAAACCTTTTTTGAGCTTCCAAAGTTATTTAGAAACTTTACAACTTATGCAAAAATTAAAATTGGTGCTTATTACGGGACTTTAAATGTTTTTTTAGATTTAGCTAACCGGTCGAGACAAAAAAAATTTAATTTTGAATCAAATTGAGCAACTGACTTGAACAAAGCTTTTTTAAGCTCCAAAGTTATTTTGAAACTTTAGAACTTGTGCAAAAATCAAAATTTGTGCCCAATGCGGGACTTTAAATTTCTTTTTCGAGATTTAGCTAACTGGTCGATACGAAAAAAATTATAAATTTCAATCGAATTGAGCCACTGGCTTAAGCAAAACTTTTTTGAGCTCCCAAAGTTATTTAGAAACTTTACAACTTGTGCAAAAATTAAAATTGGTGCTTATTGCGGGACTTTCAATTTTTTTTGAGATTTAGCTAACTGGTCGATACGAAAAAAATTATAAATTTCAATCGAATTGAGCCACTGGCTTAAGCAAAACTTTTTTGAGCTCCCAAAGTTATTTAGAAACTTTACAACTTGTGCAAAAATTAAAATTGGTGCTTATTGCGGGACTTTCAATTTTTTTTGAGATTTAGCTAACTGGTCGATACGAAAAAAATTATAAATTTCAATCGAATTGAGCCACTGGCTTAAGCAAAACTTTTTTGAGCTCCCAAAGTTATTTAGAAACTTTACAACTTGTGCAAAAATTAAAATTGGTGCTTATTGCGGGACTTTCAATTTTTTTTGAGATTTAGCTAACTGGTCGATACGAAAAAAATTATAAATTTCAATCGAATTGAGCCACTGGCTTAAGCAAAACTTTTTAGAGCTCCCAAAGTTATTTAGAAACTTTACAACTTGTGCAAAAATAAAAATTTGTGCTTATCGAGGGACTTTAAATTTTTTTCAGATTTAGCTAACTGGTCGATACGAAAAAAATTAAAATTTTCAATCAAATTCAGCCCCTGACATGAGAAGTTTTTTGAGGTCTAAAAGTTTTTTTCAAAATTTACAACTTGTGCAAAAATTAAAATTTGTGCTTATCGCGGGACTTTAAATTTTTTTCACATTTAGCTAACTGGTCGATACGAAAAAAAATTATAATTTTCAATCAAATTCAGCCACTGGCTTAAACAAAACTTTTTTGAGCTCCCAAAGTTATTTAGAAACTTTACAACTTGTGCAAAAATAAAAATTTGTGCTTATCGCGGGACTTTAAATTTTTTTCACTTTTAGCTAACTGGTCGATACGAAAAAAAATTATAATTTTCAATCAAATTCAGCCACTGGCTTAAACAAAACTTTTTTGAGCTCCCAAAGTTATTTAGAAACTTTACAACTTGTGCAAAAATTAAAATTGGTGCTTATCGCGGGACTTTCAATTTTTTTTGAGATTTAGCTAACTGGTCGATACGAAACCGAATTTACATTAGGGTACAGTCATACGATCTAATACATCTGCATGATGCATGCATGCAGAAACATTTGACCGTTCACACCTCATTTTCTGTTTTCGTAAAATCATTTTTCTGGCGGGATATTTAAAATTGATTAAAATTTAAAAATAACGTATTACTAATTATTACAATAAAAAATGAAAAAAATTGAACGTTTATCATAAGGTATTAATTGTAAATAAATTTGTCTTAATTTGTGCCACATTTTAAATAATAATACAAATTCACAATATTAAAATGTGGTACAAATTAAGAGAAATTTATTTACAATTAATTCCTTATAATAAACGTTCAATTTTTTTCATTTTTTATTGTAATAATTAGTAATAAGTTATTTTTAAATTTTAATCAATTTTAAATATCCCGCCAGAAAAATGATTTTCCGAAAGCAGAAAATGAGATGTGAACGGTCAAATGTTTTTGCATGCATGCATCATGCAGATGCATTAGATCGTGTGACTGTACCCTTACTGTACAACAGATAACTCCCGTGGGAGTCCCGGACTCAGAATAGGCCACCTGTGATCTGCTGCATGTCGTAAGAGGCGACTAGTTTAATTACTTAAAAAATTTGTTTATACAATTCTTTATGAGAAATCAATTTTTTATTACAAATATTAAAAACTTATCACAAAAAATCGAGAATTCAATTATTTAAAAAATTTTTAATAAAATTCTTCGTAAATATTCAAACAATTTTAATATATTACTTTACAAGAATTTAATAATTTTCAAAAATATTAAAATTCTTCTAAAAAATTCAGCTATTTTCACAAATAAAAATAAATCTTGACAAGAATTCAATTATTTTAAAAAATTTTAATAAACTTCTTCTTAAAAATTTATGAATAATAAAATTCTTGTAAAGAATTAAACTATTTTTAGAAATTTTAATAAATTTGTTCCCAGGAATTCAATTATTTTCATAAAAAATTAAATTCTTGTCAGGAAATCAATTATTTTTACAAATAATTGAATTTTGAATAGGTTTCTGTTAGAATTCAGTGATACCAGGATCAATGATTTAAGATCACCTTGATTACACAAAAGATATATGTATTTTATTATAAATCAATTGTACACCGCTTGCTTTGCTAGACTTCTCCAACAGTTTCAAATTGTAATCTTTGAAAGTTGATGAATTTTTTCTACTTTTTCAAAGAAATTTTTCAAAAAATTATTAAGAATAATTAATTTAAAAGAACAATTTTTTTTAAATTGTTTAATTTCAAAATAGTTTGAATTTGAATGTTTTGAAGAATTGTAATTCCCATGAAAAAATAATAATGATTAAATATTTATTTAAAAAAGAAGCAATGGAACATTTTTCTGAGTAATCATTTTTAAACTAAATGGGAATATTTTTTAGAGTCAAGGAGAAGTAAGAATTTTATCTGGAGTTCAAGGGAAAGTGAGGGAAAAACAAAATTAAATTTTGGTTGTCAACAAAAATGTAGGGGAGAGTCTCCAGTTGTGAGACGGGTTTCATTTTTGACCCGTAAATTGTAAACGGGTAAACGAAATTGTAAATAAAATACACCGTTCGAAAGGTAACAGAAATACGCAACTTTTATTAAAAGAAAGTATAGTGTTTCGATGAACTCAAAAAATTTTACGATACATTTTCCGAGCACATCGCTTTTTTCAAAAAAAAAAAATGTCTCCAGTTGTGAGACACTCATTAAAAATTGCTAAAATTTAATAAGTTTGACATAAAACGTTATGTTTAGTAGAAATAATTAAATATATTAATAATATATATTATTATATACTAAATAATAATATTTATTCGCCAAAATATGACTATCAAATAAACACAATTTAATAGCTTCAACAAGAGCATTAAAATTGATTTCTTCTGAATCACTTGACTCTTTCCACTTGACATGTCCAAAAATACTAGAAAAAAAATAAAAACAACATTTAAATAGTATGCCTGCAAAGTAGTATTTTTTATGCTGCCCAGATGGGTGTTGACACCGTCTCACAACTGGTGATATGCTGTGTCTCACACCCAGAAATTGGCGCTATTTTGAAAAAGGAAAATTAAATTATTTTCAACCGTAGATTGGAACAATGCAATATTGCATCACAAAATATAAGGAAAACACTAACAGAAAATGCATTACATTTACCTTTTCCAATTAATTAACTTGGAAAAAAAGTACTTTGCATTTATTGAAAAAACGATTTTTAGTCGATTATCACACACAGTGTTGGTATTTAACAAAAACAGTTTATATATCCGCTTCGGCGTACACGAAAAAGTTGGCTCATATAAAAAGAAATGTTTTTATATAAACCAATCGGCTTTTTAATATTACATGTTAAAAAAAATTGACTGTCTCACAACTGGAGGTGTCTCACAACTGGAGACTCTCCCCTATAGTTTTAAAAACCTGGAAAAATTCCGTTTTTTAGTCTGGGAAACCTGGAAAAATCAGGGAATTTGAAATGAGAAAATGCGTGGCAACCCTGTCAGATCAATGATGATCGTTTATAAAATTTTTACATTATTGTTGTTAAATTTAATAATACGATTGTTTTTTATAATTAAAAAGTACTACCATTTTACAGAATTGTTATTTATCTTTAGGCATTATAATTATATTCTTAATTCTTAAAATAAATTGTTATTTAATAAATTCTTTTTTTTTTATTTCGCTTATTTTGAAATCTTGAAATTAAAATTAAAAAGGTGACAAATTATGCAATATGAAAGGACGGAAGTTCGTGTTTAAATAATTCCATTCAGTGACAAACAATAATTTTTGAAAATGATAATTAGTGCTTTTTTTGTTAAATTCTTGTCAAAAAAGTAGTAGTCTTGTTTTGAAATTCGCATTATTGAAACACATTTAAAGTTTTATGCTAGTTTTATATACGACATTTTGTGTTTTGTAAAATATAATTTTTTTTCAATTGCGCTTATTTTTTCTCTGTTTATGATTTTTAAGTATTAAATTTAAAATTCCAGAATCTATTCATTTTTAACACGAGATGAATTTCAATTGTTTGATAAATTCCCTTTTGTTGAAATTTCTTGTCTTTCACTGTTTAATTTATCAAGTGGTGTTTGGGGAACTAAGTTACAATGAATACTTGAAGGAAAATAAAGGTTTTGCATTAAGTGAATTAAATTCAACGATAAGTGAAAGTGGCGAAAGAACTCCTTGGTTTTTGAATGTACCTTTATTGCCAGTAATTGTTGCAACTTCGAATTCAATTCCCGAAGGTTCTTGTAAAAATCAATTACTATTGTATCTTAATCATTTGAAGAATGGCACTTTGTGGGCTACTGAGAGTAAGTAGCATTGTACTTTTCCTGAAAAATTAAGTTCGCAAAGATGATTTCTATAATTTTTCTTCAAGTGTTTGATTCGTCAGCCAAAGTTCCCTATGGTGTGTTCAACGGTTTCACTGTACATTTGGGAAGTTTCGATCAATGTGAACGAATTAATGCAAAAGTAGTAGATGCTAACAGTGGAAAAATTGAGGAAATTCGCAGTAAATATTGTCTGGTGGATGTGAAATTTAAAGAAAAGAATGAGCCAACGGATTTTAGTGGAGATTACAAATTAATGTTTGATCCTCAAGATTCTGCTTGGGAAGCAATTCGGGTAAATAATTAAACTGTAAATTGTTTTTGAAAAATTCTTTTCCTAAGATGCATAAATATAATTTTTAATTTAAGGAAAAGGGCGATTTTCGACGATGGCCAAGGTACCATTGGCAAATGGCTCTTTGTTTTCCTGCGCAATGTCAACTAGAGGACATTGAGGCAGCCCTAAGAGAACCCCTTGATAAATTTGAAGAAAATTATTCTGTTAAAGTCACAGCATCAATTTCTCCATTATACTGCTCTTCTCCTGTTTCAAGAGAAGCTCCCTTTTCCAATTACGAAATCATTTTTTGGTAACTAGTTCGAAACATTATGAACATTTGTCTTTGCAGTACTTGGGCTATTAATGAAAATTCATCCAAAAATATAAAAAATCATAATTGATTGATTTTTCAGTTTAACATTCCTTTCAATAATTATTATTGTCGGACTAAGTACAATAGTTGACATGAAATCTGATAAAAAGCAGCAACTCTCTTTACAAAAACAATTATTATACTGCTTTTCAGCTCGTAAGAATTTTAATGAAATTTTTAATGTTAATAATGAACATCGTGGACTGGATACTATTCATTTTGTTCGTGTGTTTATTAGCGGAATTTTAATGTCCGCTCATCGACAACTTCAATTTATGTTCTCGGGAAGTATGAACGGACTGTTTGCTGAACGGGTAATACAGTTCATAATTAATATATTTATTGAATAAAGAAAAATACTTAATTAGTAATTGAATTCTACTCTCATGTAATAACTCTTCAGGTTCAAACTGATCCAATTTACTCGTTTATTCATAATGTTCCCGCCGCGTCAGATGGAATGTTCAGTTTGGGTGGTCTTTTACTTTCCTACTCATTGCTGAAGAAATGGAATGAATCGGGAAAATTAAATTACACTGATTTGGTTATAACTCGATTAGTAAGGTAGGTGATGTAACAATTATTGTTACACTACTTACAATTATAATTTGAATAATAATTCACAGATTATTACCACTTTTCATGTTTGTAACCTTTGGATATGCAACTGTATTTTATCGATTGGGTTCGGGACCGTTTTGGGAGGTTACAGTGGGATTTAACAAAGAGTCATGTTCTTCTTACTGGTGGACGAATTTATTTTTCATTAATAATTATTTCGGTGGTACCAATAAAGTAACAAAACTTTCAATATTGAACTTGAAGAATTAATATTGTTTTTCAACAATTTACATATTATTTTACTTAGTGCATTCTTCAGTCTTGGTATTTAGCTGTTGATTTTCAATGTTGGATAATTGGATTATTCTTGATTACTGCATTTTGTAAAATGCCTCGTAAAATTGGTTACACATTTTTTAGTAGCATTTTGATTTTTTCAACCGCACTAACTTTTTACATTATGTACAAAAATGATGTTGATCCGATTTTTAAATCTTTAGCAATGTAGGTATTTACATGTTAGTAGTGGAACTAATTTTAGTTTTACATAATTACACACAGAGAGTTTTAATTCAGATAAAAATAAAAATTGTTTTTCTCACTCTTCGTAAATAATTTAAAAATATTTATTGACATTTCAGTCCAAACAGACCAGAAACGAGTGATTTTTTTCTGAATTATTACTCTAAAACTGAATTACGTTTTACTTCTTATTCCGTTGGATTAATTTTCGGAGCGATTATTTATGACTCGAAGAGAGCTAATTGGCGTCTTTCAAAGGTAAATTGTCTTTTATAATAATTTTTAATAAAAAAAACTATAAATTGAGATAATCAATTAATGGTAGAATCTACTTATTAAAATTTAAAGTTTATTGTTTTATTTTTCACAGACAGTGTCGCAATTTTTATATCTCAGTGCATTTCTGCTAACTTGGTTTGCAGTATCATGTGGACTTTTTTTTACGACTCCAAATTTGAAAATGAGTGCTTTGGCCAAAGGATTGTATGCAAGTCTATCAAGACTAACTATAGCATACTCCTCATGTGTACTACCTTTAGTCTTCACAATTGGAAATGGTTTAGGTTGAGAGAAAATTATGAAAACAAATAATTGGCATTGTACACACAGAATAATTATTAATATAATTATCTATTGTAGATTTTTATTACAAGATAATGACAGCAAGCTGGTTTCAGCGATTATCACGAATATCTTATTCAATATATATCACTCAGTTCATAATGTTTCTTTATGAATTTGGATCCTCAAAATCATCATACGATATTTCCTTCTACATTCTAGTAAGACATTTATTCTATTATTCCCTAATGACTATATTTTGCAATTTTCCTTTAATTATTATTTCTCGACAAAGAAAAAGTAAAAAAAAAAAAATTTGTTTTTAATTGAAAACAATTTTTCTTTTTGCAGTTTAAGTGCATTGCAGGAGATGCAGTGTATACAGTGTGTCTAGGTTTTTTCTTTGCCATTTTAATAGAGTATCCATTTAAAAATGTTGGTAATTTGATTTTAAAAAGGAAGACGAAAAAGTAAACAATTATAAAAATTTCATTCTTTACAAGTTTCGATAAACATGATTCTAAATTAATTGTTCTTTTTCAGTTCAGCAACTATTCAAAAAAAGGAGAAATGAATACGAATTAATTATGTCCTCTTAATTTTTATTATCATAAAATCTGTATATTCGCATAAAAATGAAATATTACTCCAGCTATTAAAAGCAATGGTTTATATGCATTTGATTTGCAATCTTAAACAAAATTAAATGCAACGGTTTGAATGAAATAATTTTACATTTAAATTAATTAAATTTGATTAGTATTTCGATATTTTTAAAATAATTTAAAAAGCGAAGAAATATTAATGTAAAATGCAGAAAGGTCGTTTTATAAACAGTGACATATTGTAATGAAGTGCTCAATATTAGACGATAAAAAATGATAATCGATGCATATAAAATTTTTATGTTGTTGTTTATCGAATGTCAAACATAGGTAGTCTTGATTTGGTATTCATTGTAGTGAAACATGTTTTCAATGTTTTAATTTTGATACAATTGTTACCATTTCTTTTGTAATTGAAAATTATTTGCATTTTACAAAATTGTTATTTCTTTTTTAACACAAAAATGAATTTTAGTTTTTTCATTACTTGTTTATTACAAGTTTTTATATTAATTTGGCCATTATGTCCAGTGGTGTTTGGAGAAATAATTTGTGATAGAAATTTGCAGAGTAATGAGCGATTCGTTAATTTCAATGAAAGTAAAGCGACATTAAATGAATCTAATTACGAAATAGGAGTAGATGGTGAAAAATCTCCTTGGTTCCTAAATATACCATTATTGCCGATAATGGTTGCAAATTCGAATTCAATTCCCGAAGGTTCTTGTAAAAAACAATTACAATTGTATCTTAATCATTTAAAAAATGGTACTTTATGGGCTACCGAAAGTAAGTGTTATTGGAAAGATTATTAAACGATCTTCAACGTCAAAATTCAAATAAAATTCAAAAATAAATATAAAAATCAATGTTCTTACTTTCGTCTAATTTGGTATTAAGAAAAAATACTGTATTTTATTTTAATGAGTGCAAAACAGTTTTCAGTATTAAAAATATATTTCTATAAATATTTTAGAAGAATAAATTAATTAAAATCGTACTTTACATTAAACTTTTTCAACATTAGTGTTCGATTCATCAGCAAAATATCCGTACGGTTTATTTGATGGTTTAACGCGACATTTAGGAAGTTTTGATCAGTGTAAAAGAATTCAAGCGACAATAATTAACACCAAAAATGGAGATATTGAAACAATAAGCAGCAGATATTGTTTAGTGGATGTAAAATTCGAAGATAATAATAAAGGAACTTTTACTGGAGCACATGAGAAATATTTGAACCCCCTGGGTTCTGCCTGGGAGGCAATTTTTGTATGTACTTTAATGATATTAAATATTATATTATATTATATTATATTATATTATATTATATTATATTATATTATATTATATTATATTATATTATATTATATTATATTATATTATTTAATGATACACTGAGAAAACATTATACTTAATTCAAATAGAAAAATAATTTTAAATGATTTTGTTTAATTGAAATTAGTTTGTAAGCTTAATCCCAATATATAGAAATTATTTACTGCTTTGATTCAAAAATATTATTTGTTTGAATAATAATTATATTTAATTCAAACATATTTTCGGTTTTGATTTAAACTAAAATTATGTTTAAAAATTTTATGTTTGATTCAAACTTAAAATTTTATTATGAATAATTTAAAATCAACCAAAACTTATGATTGAATTAAATATATTGTTTCTTTAAATGAACCAAAAAATATGACTGAATTAAACTTAAATATGTTTGACTGTATAGCAAAGATATTTTAAGTTTGATTTAAACAAAATTTGTTTGAACCAAATAATTTGTTTTCTCAGTGTATTAAAAATGAAAAATTTTCTGTGCTCTCTTGTACTACATTGTGTTCTCTTTGTATATTTCGAAACAAAAATTAATTTATTACATTGAAGTCAAACGACTAATAACTGCATTTACTTAAAAAAACAATGAAATCAAAATGCGTTATTCATTGAGATCAGACTTTATAATTTATATATGCAGATTTTATGAGTATTGTATAATTGTAATTTAGGAGAAAGGCCATAATCAAAGTTACGCAATGTTTATTTTACAAATGGCACTATGTTTTCCTGCAAAATGCCAAACAGAAGAAATTGTGACAATTTTAAAAGAACCCCTGGATGAATTCGGCAGAAAATATAATATTCAAGTAAAAGCATCAATTTCACCAATGTACTGTGCCTCTGCAGAAGCTCAAAGTTTTTCCAATTTCGATATAATTTTTTAGTAAGTATTTTTTACAGAATTATTCTCACACGTTTTCGGGATAAAAATTGAACAAATTTTCTGGTTTTTGTTGCTATAATGAGTTTATTATAAAGAAATATACTGTGAAATAAGATCCAAATTAAAAGAAGTAATAAAATTATTAATATTTTCTCAGTGTATGCTCATAATCATATTCTAATTCACATTATGTTGAAGAAAATGATAAAAAAAAGATACATAAATATTTTTTTGGAAATTTGCAGTTCTACTTGTCTATTAATACTGAGTCTCGTTATAATTAGCACTGCTATTGACTTAAATTCTAAGAAACCCAAAGAGCTTTCTCTGTTATACTGTTTCTCTGCTCGTAGAAATATGAATGAACTTTTTAGAATAAATTATAGACATCGAGGACTTGATTCGATTCATTTTATTCGAATATTATTAACTGTCATTGCAGTTTTTGCTCATAGACAATTACAGTATATGTACGCTGGGAATATTTCCGCAAAGTACTTGCAATGGGTACGTACAACTAACGAAAAACTAAATAATTAATTTTCTCTTAAAAATAATAAATTAAAATAATAAAGTCGACACAAAAATTAATATAGTACAATATACAAATAAAATACCCAAAAACAAAATAAAAATACGTATTTACTATAAAATAGTTTACGTCTGATCTCACGTTCGGAATATTTCACAATGTTCCGATTATAGTAGACGGATTCTTTGGTGTTGGAGGACTTTTATTGTCTTACTATTTATTGGATTACTTGAATGAATCGAAAATAATTAATATCATGCTTCTTGTCATAAAAAGATTAGTGAGGTACTGTATTCGAATATTATTATAACTATATTGTAGTGAGCGAGATAATTATAAATATTATAATGTTATTTAAAATTATTAAATAATTTTCTAGATTATTGCCAGTCTATATGTTTGTGACATTCGGATATACGACTATTTTTCATCGATTAGGTTCTGGACCATTTTGGGAATCGACTATGGGATTCTCTAGAGATTCCTGTTCTTCTAATTGGTGGACGAATTTATTTTTCATTAATAATTATTTTGGTGGTAACAATAAGGTACAGTGAAAAGAAATAAATACATTTTTTAATTAGAATAATGCCCTAATGAACGTCATAGAAAATTGTAGGGTATTATTTTAACACCAAAAGTGGATTAAGAATTATTTTTTGGAAATTTATATGAACAAGAATAAAAAATTATTATTTTTGTTTAGTGTATAATTCAGTCTTGGTATTTAGCTGTCGATTTCCAATGCTACTTAATTGGATTACTATTAATTATTGCATTCAACAAAATGCCTCGTAAAATTGGTTACACATTTTTAGGATGCATCTGTATTTTTTCTGCCATTGTACCTTTTTACTTGACATATAAAAATAATTTAGTTCCACTAGTGAACTCGATAGCGAAGTAAGAATACTTGATTTATTTTTTATTTTTATATCTCACAGTTTTTCTAAGGATATCAAATTGAGACAAAAATAACGTATCAAAAAGTAGCATTTGCAACAATTTTGATATGTTTTTTGTCTCCATCCGTAGAAAAACTGAATTCTTATATTTAACTATTTAAATTTTTTTATATTTATTTTAATATTACCTACAAAATTATCGTAGATGAATTTTTTCCACAGTCCAAGGAGAATAGAAAACAGTCATTACTTTTTAAATTATTACATTAAAACTCATATGCGATCAACCGCTTATATTGTCGGATTAATTCTCGGAGCGTTTATTTATGATTATAAAAAAGCTAATTGGCGACTTTCGAAGGTAAATCCCCAACTTTTGCTATTGTACGTAAACAATTTTATTTTTTAAACAATTTTTAAATTTTTTACAAATAAAAATAAAAAAAAAATAAAAATAAAAATACTTAAAAGTATCAAATTGCAACAAATTGATACCAAAAATGTGGATCAAATAAAAAATTGATCCAAATTTTTGGTATCAATTTGATCCACTTTAGTATCAATTTAATACTTTAAAAAAAAACTGTGAATAATTAGTCAATTACTTTAAATAGTCTTTAACTTCTTTTTTCAATTTTTAGACATGGTCAAATATTTTATTCATTACTACATTTGTGATAATGTTTAGTACTGTTTATATTGGAACACTTTTGCTCAATCCGAATTTGAAAATTAGTGTTTTTTACAAAGCCTTGTACACAAGTTTACATAGACCGATTTTTGCCTTCAGTATTTGTGCTATTCCTCTTTTGTTAACAATCGGAAATGGTCTAGGTTGATAAAAAAAATTTCTAAAAATATAAATAATTATTAATTTAATTATTAATAATAATTAAATTAAATATATAAAAGATAAAATTAATTAATACTTGGAATATGAATTTTAGGTTTCTATTACAATTTACTAACATCAAGATGGATGCAACCACTGTCACGTATTTCTTACGGAATTTTCCTTATTCATTTTGTTATACATCATTTCGAAATAGGGACAACGAGAACTGCATTTACTTTTTCGTTGTACAATGTGGTAAATTCTTATAAAAATCCTAATTACTGATGTCATTGCGAGTAATAAATTCAAAATAATATTAAAAATACTTAACTTTTATACATTATTGTCATTTTTTATGTAATTTCTTTATTTTTCTAAAAACAAAAAGTTTCGTTCATTCGAACGTTTGAAACTTTAAGAAAATGATACTAAGTGAAAATTAAGTTTTAAAAAAGGAAAAAAAGTTTTACCTGGAACAGCGATAAGTTTCTTTAAATTAGCGAAAGTCTTAACTGAAACAACTAAAAATTTGACTAATTTAGTGAAATTTGTAGCTATTCCAGGTGAATATTTTTTTCCGTGAATAATTTAACATTTTTTTTTTTATAAAAATATGTTTCCATTTACAGTTGAAATATCTCGTATCAGATTTGGTATATTCTGTGTGTCTGGCATTATTCTTGGCTATTGTAATAGAATTCCCATTCAGAAATATTTTAAATGTAATAATAGAAAGGAAGTCGATCGTCACTAACAAAAAATCGCCGTGAGAGATGAATTTTAAATTACTTTAATTAAAATCAATATTTTACTATTGAAATTACTTTACTATTCAATTTAATATTGAAAAAGTAAATAGTTCTATTTTAATAAATTTTTCTTTTCAGGTCATCGATTATCCAAACGAAGGAAGAGTAATAATTTTCTACAAGTTAATTATAATTACTTACTGTATTTAAAATTTTTAAAATATAAATTCACTCACAATTTGGAATCTTGAATTTTGAAAATTAAAAATCATGATTCCAATCTGTAAAAATGTATTATTAAATATTTTTATATAATACTTCTAATATTTTTTATACACTTTCCAGTTTTTATTAAAATAATGTATCAGATGCATGATTGTTTGTGCAATAGTGAATTTTTTAATCAAATTGTAACTTTTTTTTGTAAGCGAAAAGTCAAAGGGAGTAACATTTTTTTATTAATTTCACTGATTGAAATTCAGTAATAGGAAAGTCGTGAAAGAAAATTATTAACAGAAAAACAGTGAAATATTATCCACTGATTTATTATAGATTTTTGGAAAGAAATTTAAAAAAAGGTATCAATGTAAAAGGCCGGAAGGTCATTTTATAGATCGAAGTACTCTATTGTGTTAATCTAGTTAAAACATGGTAATTAATGCTTGTAAAATTTCTTGTTTAGTCTTCTTTTAAAGTTCACTGTATTAAAACACGTTTTAAGTTTCATAAAACGAGATTATTTTTTTTTCTATTTAATAATTGTTCGAAATTTCGTGTCAAAAAAATTATTCGCATTTTAAAGTCTGGTGATTTTTAAACCGAGATGAATTTAAATTTTCTTATAATTTCCGTTTCGATTTTTATTCTTAACAGTTCAATATGTCCAGTGGTGTTTGGTGAAAAAAGTCACGATGAAGATTTGGATAATAATAGTTATTTATTAAGTGAATTAAATTCAACGATAAGTGAAAGTGGTGAAAAATCTGCTTGGTTTTTAAATGTACCTTTATTGCCAGTTATAGTTGCAACTTCGAATTCAATTCCCGAAGGTTCTTGTAAAAAGCAACTACAACTGTATCTCAAGCATTTAAAAAATGGTACTTTATGGGCAACTGAAAGTAAGTACTTATTTTACTCTCGATTTAATGTATCTAAGAATTTTTTGTTTTCCTGAGTTAAATTGATATTGAACATCACAGCTTTAAATGTTTTGTAACTTAAAACACAGAGCTTATGTAATTTGCGAGTAAAATTAAAAAATGACCTAAATTTTATGCTCTCAGCAGTTTGCCTAAAGTTTTGAACTCATTTTTATATTTTACGCTTACTTCCTAATAAATTCTAAGGAACTGAAAAGTAGAAAAAGTAAGTTTTTTATTCACACACCTAATATAATTTTCACTACAGTGTTTGATGCATCTTCAAAATATCCCTATGGTGTGTTCGATGGTTTCACACGGCATTTGGGAAGCTATGACCAGTGTGAACAAATTGAAACTAAAATAATAGATGAAAAAAATGGTAAAATTGAAGAAATTCAAAGTAGATATTGTTTAGTGGATGTGAAGTTTAAAGAAAAAAATGAACCAACGAATTTCAGTGGTGAACACAACATATTTTTCAATCCGCAAGATTCCGCCTGGGAAGCGATTAGGGTAAATAATTTAACTATGAACTATTTTTAAAACACTTTTTTAAAAATAGATTAAACATGTCGGTTGCATTTGTTTTTTAATACCTAAAATCTTTTATCTCCTTTAATAATAATTTTAATACCGTATGACTATGAAATTCGTTTTGATGATTTAAGGAAAAGGGCGATTTTCGACGATGGCAAAGGTACTTTTTGCAATTGGCATTATGTTTCCCGGCGGAATGTCAACCAGAAGATATTGTGGTGGCACTTAAAGATCCCTTGGATGAATTTGGCGAAAATTATAATATTACTGTCAAAGCATCAATTTCTCCATTGTACTGCTCTTCCCCAACTTTGAAAGAAGCTTCATTTTCTAATTACGAAATCATTTTTTGGTAATTAGAGTTTTTTTTGAATATTTTCCTGAATTAGGTTATTAAAAGACTGAAATTTAAATAAACCCTAGATTTTAGGCTGAAGGGAGGATTCAAATTTTGACTCGGGCTATTATATTGAATAGAAACTATCCGAAAAACACAATTCAAAACTCTTACTAGAATTTTTCAATTTACAGTTTAACGTTCTTTATGATAATCATCTTTATTGTGATAAGCACCATAATTGACATCAAGTCTGACGAAAAGAAAGAGCTCTCTATGCCAAAACAATTAATATACTGTTTTTCTGCTCGCAAAAATTTTAACGAAATAATGAGGATAACTTCTGGAAATCGAGCATTGAATTCCATAAATTTGATTCGAGTATTCTTGTCATTTCTTGCAGTGGTTGCACACAGACAAGTTCAATACATTTATGCTGGAACAATAAGTGGCCAGTATTTTGAATGGGTAACTATTTCTGTTTCTTTTTTTTCTTTTGAGAATTTACTTTAAATTCGATAATACTAGCAATCAAAAAACTATTCTAAAAAATTATAATTAAATTCTTTAAAACGATTCAATTATATTCAAAAAACATTCGAAATTCAATTATTTCATAAAAAATAAAATTCTTCTCAGGAATTCAATTGTAATTAAAAATTTTAAGAAAATTCTTTGCAACTATTCAATTATTTATATAAATAATTCTTCGAAAGAATTTAATTATGACGATAAAATGACAAAATTATTCACAAAAAATCAATTATTTTTGAGGCATTCTAATATAAAATCGTTAGGAAGAATTCAATTATTTTCAGAAATAATATTCATCACAAGAATTCAATTTCTTATTTTTAAAAGTAATAAATTTCTTCTTGGAAATTCAATTATTTAAAAAAAATTCTTATAAAATGGTACGCAAGAATTCAATTTTTTTCATAAATAATAAAATGCTTTTTATGAATTCAATTATTTTCAATAAAATTTAATAAAATACCACACAAACATTCGATATTATTGTCAAAAACTTTAATAGAATTCTTTGTAAAATTTAATTATTTTTAAAAACTTTTCGCAATTCAATGATTTTCAATATTTACTATGTATTTTCATAAAATTTCCAAACAGAATTCAATTAATTCAAAAAAAAAAAAAAAATTGTAAAAATCTTCGTAAGAATTCAATCCTTTAATGAATAATAAATATTTCTCAGGAATTCGATTATTTAAATTAGAATTAGCGTTCAATTAGTCAAAAATCAATTAATTAAATTTTTTTTAATTCTTCGCAAGTATTAAATTATTTTAATTAATTTAATTTAATTTTTCATGAACTACTTTTTTACTACTTGTTTTAGTTTGAAAGCTACTTTTTTGCAACTATTTTAAAATTCATTATCGAGTGCGAAGTTTTGGTTAAAGATGTGCCAAATTCGCTAATACTAAAAATCCAAAAACTATTCTCAAAAATTATAATCATATTCTTTAAAACTATTCAATTATTTTCAAAAATATTCAAAATTTAATTATTTTCAAAAAATATTCAAAATTCAATTATTTTCAAAAAATATTCAAAATTCAATTATTTAAAAAAATATTCGAAATTCAATTATTCTTTAAAAATATTCGAAATTCAATTATTTTTAAAAATATTCAAAATTCAATTATTTTCAAAAAATATTGGAAATTCAATTATTTTCAAAAAATATTCAAAATTCAATTATTTAAAAAAATATTCGAAATTCAATAATTTTCAATATCTAGTATTTTCATCAAATTTCACATAAGAATTCAATTATTTAAAAAAAAAATTGATAAAATTCAATTATTTTTCCCAAATAATAAAATTTCCACACGAATTCAATTAATTTAGAATAGCATTTTCATAAAAAATCAATTCAATTATTTTCAAAAATAAAGTTTTCCATAAGAATTCAATTATTTAGATTACAAATTTTACAATATTTATTATATTTAAAAAAAAATTAATTCAAAACAATGTTTATAATATTCATTATAATATAATATTCATTCCACGATTTCAATTATTTGTAATTCAATTTTACAGGAATTGCTCGAAAAATGTAATTATTCTTAAAAAAAGATGTTCTTAAATAATTCTTCGAAAGAATTCAATTATTAAAGATAAATAACAAAATTATTTGCGAAAATTCAATTATTTTGGAGACATTTTTATTAAACAAATTCTTTGCAAAATTCAATTATTTTCATAAATAACAATATTCATCACAAGAATTCAATTATTTAAAAAACTTTTTGTAAAAATCTTCGTAAGAATTCAATTCTTTTCATGAATAATAAATATTTCTCAGGAATTCGATTATTTAAATTAGAATTAGCATTTTATTAGTCGAAAATCAATTAATTAAATTTTTTTTTTAATTCTTCGCAAGTATTAAATTATTTTAATTAATTTAATTTAATTTTTCATGAGCTACTTTTTTACTACTTGTTTTAGTTTGAAAGCTACTTTTTGCAACTATTTTAAAATTCATTATCGAGTGCGAAGTTTTGGATAAAGATGTGCCAAATATATCGAATCCGAAAAATTTTGCTATTACAATACTTTCTCCACGAGGAAGTAATAATAAAATAAAAAATTTGTTGAATTTCAGACAAACACGTAATTAAATTTATCTATTCTGCAGGTTATGTCTACTCCCTTTTTCGGACTCACGCACAATTTCTCCATTCTTGTAGACGGATTTTTTGGTCTGGGAGGACTTTTACTTTCTTACTTATCATTGAAGAAATTGAATGCATCGGGAAAATTAAATTATGTGCGTTTGATTTTAACTCGATTAGTAAGGTACTCGTTTTACAATAAAATTTTTACGGAATTTATTGTTTTTATATCTTAATTTCTTTATATTTTGAACGAATTAATTTTTTACAAATTAATTTTTTATACATTAGTTTATTATTTTTTAGATTATTACCACTCTTCATGTTCGTAACATTTGGATATGCAACAGTATTTTATCGATTTGGTTCGGGACCTTTTTGGGAAGTCAGTGTTGGATTCAATCACAATTCTTGTTCTTCTTATTGGTGGACAAATTTGTTTTTTATCAATAATTATTTTGGCGGTAATAATAAGGTAATTAAAAAAAAGGTTTAATAATTATTTACCTTAAAGGTTATTAAATTTTTTTTCGATAACTTATTGACATTATTTTTATTTTTTAGTGTGCAATTCAGACTTGGTATTTAGCGGTTGACTTTCATTGTTATCTGATTGGATTATTGCTGATTACTGTATTCCACAAAATGAATCGTAAAATTGGTTACATATTTTTGGTCACTACGTTGATTATTTTTGCTGCATTGCCTTTTCATTTTACATATAAAAATAATGCAGATCCGCTTTATACATCCTTTGTAAAGTAAGAATTTACTTCATGGTAACTTTTTTCTTTGAAAATTGCCTTTATTATAATATTTTTAATAAACAAAAGTTCCAGTTGGGTGAAAAAAATTTTTAAAGTTAAAGAAATTTTGTTGTTATAATTGAACCGTCATAAAGAAATAAAGAAATGAAGAAATTTTGTTTCAATTTTTCTAAGGAGAAAAAAAAATTGAAAAAAAATTGAGACAAAAAATGTATTAAAAATTAAAATTATTGCGATGTAAAGTTTTGTTGCGTTTTTTGTCTCAATTTGACATCCTTGGAAAATTATGTTTAATTTGGAGAATTTTAATTAATGATTTAATTCAAGAATTAAAATTAAAATTTATAATTCACTGAATGTTCGTTGTAATAATTCTTGTTATTCTATTATATTGTAATTATATTTTTGTTATTATATTCTTGTTATAAAAAGTATTTGTTTTTTGCATATAGACACAGAATGGTTGAAGAAATGGATTATTTTGTAAATAATTATGTTAAAACTCATTTCCGTTTGGCTGCCTACGTTACTGGATTAATTTTGGGAGCACTTATTTATGACTATGAAAACGCTAATTGGCGTCTGTCAAAGGTCAAGTAATTAATTAATTTTTAATTTTTATATTGTCATTTTTTATTTTTTATTGAAATAATTATTATCTTAATATATTTAATTCTTTATTTAATATTTTCCGCAGATCTGGTCGCAAATTTTTATTTTTGCCGCAGTTTTCCTCGCTGCCTTCACAATGTGGAGTGGAACACTTTTTATGAATCCAAATTTGATAATAAGTGCATTTATAAAAGCTTTATACGCAAGTCTGCAAAGGCCAATTTTCGCTCTCAGTATATGCGCGATTCCTCTTCTGTTTACAATTGGAAGCGGTTTGGGTTAGTGAAACGAGAAAAAAAATTTATTATCCCCAAGAGAAACTTTCAAAATTTTAAATAATCGAAATTTATTTATTTCTGATCTAGATTTTTACTACAAAATAGTAAATTCAAAATGGATTCAACGTTTATCACGAATTTCGTTTGCAATTTACTTAACTCATTATGCGCTATTTCTTTATGAACTTGGAACTATAAGAACTGCATTTACTTTTTCGTTCTATAATTCAGTAAGTCGAATAGTATAAATGGGTAGATTATATTAATTTCTAATTTTTTATTTTTAAATTTATTGATTTTTTTAGGTGAAATATCTTTTTGGAGATATGATTTACTCTGTACTACTGGGATTATTTTTCACTATTGTTATTGAATTTCCATTTAGAAACGTTGGAGATATTATTTTGAAGCGGAAGGCAAACGATGCAAAGAGGAAACAGTAAGAGAATTCGTTTTTATACTTATTTTTTTTCTTTAGCAAATTTATTTTAATTCTAGTTGGAATTTACTTTTTTAGATCGCCAAAAAAGTATTCGAAAGAAAGCGAATTAATTGTTTAATTCTACATGGAACATGACATTTTTATTAAATTAAGTTCAGTTTTTCTTATATATTTCTGCAGATATCAAATTGAGACAAAAAACGAATCAACAGTTTTGATTCGTTTTTTGCCTCAATTTGATAACAGCAGAAAAACTGTGTTAGTTAATTTTTAAGAAATTAAAATTTATAATTTTTTTTTAATAAGAATTAAGAATTCAATAAATGTTATTTTAAATTCTAAAATATTAGTTTCTTAAAATATTTCAGTTCTATTTTTTAAAAAATTTTAAATTATCGAATTTTTTATACACAAATAATTAGAAATTTTTCAAAAAAATTAAAATTTCTAAGAATTCGAGTAAAAATAATAGAATTTTTTAATAATTTTACTAAACAATATTTTTATTCTTTTTAGTTTTTTTTTAAATAGAACTTCCTAAACATTTTTTTATAGGAATCGGGAAAAAAGTTGATTTTAAAATAAAAAGTTTATTTTTTAAAAATTAAAAATTATCGAATTTTTATAAACAATTTTAATTGGAAATTTTTTTAAAAAATTAAAATTTCTTTGAATTCGAGTAAAAATAATAGAATTTTTTAATAATTTTACTGAACAATATTTTTATTCTTTTTATTTTTTTTTAAAATTGAACTCCCTAAACATTTTTTTTTATAGGAATCGGGAAGGAAGTTGATTTTAAAATAAAAAGTCAATTTTTTAAAAATTAAAAATTATCAAATTTTTATAAACAATTAATTGGAAATTTTTCCAAAAAATTTTAATTTCTAAGAATTTGAGTAAAAATAATTAAATTTTTAAATAATTTTACTGAAAATTATTATTCTTTTTAGTTTTTTTTTTTTAAATTGAACTCGCTCTAGAATTTTTTTTATGGGAGCCGTCGAAAATATTGAAGGTTTGGAAATCAGGGGAAAAAGAAATCAAATTTTCGTGGTAACCTTGTTCGACTTTTTTTTTACAGTTCTTTATCAAGGTTTTAATGTTTGTACATGGTAAGAAAATATATAAAAAGATTTCAGAAAAAAAATTTACTACGTTAATCCCTTATGATTTATGCACTTTAAAGTTTTTCTTTAAGAATAAGTCTTTGATAAATATCATCGAAAAATAATGTATAGATAATAATATTTCGTAATATACTATATTAATTTATATTTTATTTTGAATAATTGCGAAATAATTAAAATAACGGTTTAAAAAAATAAACATAAAAACAGTTTACTATTTTCCGTGTGTGTAAAATAAAATTTTTATACGGAGAGAAAATTATATTAAATTTTGTAAAAGTATTTTACAATTTGGGGGAAAAAAGTACAACAAACCTAAATTTTGACATAGAAAATTAAGTGAAAGAAATACTATAAAAATTTAGTAAAGTTATATTAAAATTTAACTAAATGGTTTCAAAAATTTTATAGAATAATTGAATTTTATTATTTATGCACATAATTAAAGTCCTGCGATTTTAATATTAACATTTTAAATTCAAATTTTATAGCGTAAAAAGTAAGAACGTGGCTTTTTCACATACGTTTCATTATTTGTTTTGGAAGTTTTTATTTATTTTTGATTTTTTGACTTTGGACATTTTTATTTTAGATTTTTTGTACACTGGACTTTTTTTCTTGGATTTTTCGGTCTGCATTTTTTTATTTGACTTTTTTTGTACTGTAATCAATTATACTAAATTCCACATATAAGTTTTTTTTAAAGTTAAGTATTTTTTATATCCAAATTTCGCTGTGTCGCATTTTTTACCCAAATTGTGAAATAATTGTACAAAATTTAATAAAATTTTCTCTTTGGGTATTTAACTATTTAATCGTCAATTACTAATAAACATTATGAACTTCACCCACGTAAATTTTTGAAACATTCGTACTACACTTAATTTTTAGTCAAAGCGAGCCAAAGTTTAAATAAATTCCCACCCAGGAGAGATGGAAAATGACAAATTTCTAATTTGCATCAAATTAGATATTTCCTCACTGAAAAGCTTGTAATCCTCGACTTTATCTCATTTGTCTAGCGCGTATGTAGTTTTTTCGCAACATCACAAGAAATTCTGAATTGCTCTTCCTCTTCCTCTCTCTGTCACTCGTTCACTATTTTTTCTCATTCTCTCAATCTCGAGGGTAGTGGGACGCCTTTGTGATGAAGAGGGAGCAACTGAAGATGGGCGAAAACGGATATCGCGACTCATCCGCGGGAGTCGCTCTGGTACTTTTGAAGGCAGCGCATCTTGAGGAATTCTTGAGGGACAATTATTTAATCTTAGGTACGGACTATCAAGTCAATCATCCTTTAATTATATATATCTGTATCTTTCTCACTCTCTCTTTTAGTGATGTGTGTACACGTGACATTGCGCAAAAAAAATAATCATTTTGGCTCCATTAGCCATGCATGCTGACCCTTTGACACGAAATCTATTACAAATTAAAGTGACGTCGCGCCGCGGTTATGTATAATATTGTAAGACCCAAACCGGATGTGTGCTAATCGACATTGATCGGGGCCGTTGTTAATCGCTTCCTCACAATCTTTCTTTAAACAATCAAAGTGCTATTTTTCTTTTTTTTTCCATCCAAAAATGCTAGTATTTTTTTCATGTAAACTGATTGAAAAAACATCGAAATTGTGTTTGTGTGTCGATCACTAGTGCTCAAAATGAAACAATTTTTCACATTAATCAGTGTTCTTTTCCTTTGCTTCTGCTTGATTATAAGTTATGTTGTTTTGAAGAGTCTCTTTCTTTTGATCAATAGGTTTTGTTATTCAAGAAGAAAAGTCGGGGTTTTAACGAAACATAAATCGTTTTCGTAATGTGAACAAGTTTTAATAATATCAAAGAAGATCAAAGACGATCTTTTAATATCAAAAGAGGTTTTCTTTTTTACAAACGGAAAAGTTTGGTTCGTTTAATTTAATTTAATAATAGAAAATTTTACTGTATGCGAAAAAAAAATTCGTTTTTGACCCAAATGTTAAATTTCGAGCTTTTTCATTGGTTCTGAATACTATCTTGGGTCAAATATCATCAAAAAAAAGTGTTTCGTTTGAAAGAAAGTGAAGAAAAGATTCTAAATGTGAAAAGTTTATGAAGTAATCTTACCAGTGAAGTATTTTTGAAAAAGATGAAATAGTTTTTTTAAAGTTGACTTTCAAAAGTGGAGTTGAGTTATGAAAAGAGTCATTATTACGAAATAGTAAAAATTTCTTTTGAACTTTTGTCAATTTTTACTAAACTCAAGTGGAAAATCTAAAACTAAAATGATTAATGATTAATGATAAAAAAAAACTCTAAAATGTTATGATTAATGATCGAAAAACTCTAAAATGTTTAATGATTAATGATCAAAAAAACTCTAAAATGATTAATGATTGAATAATTAATGTTAACTAACAGACAATTTTACTGAATTGTACAGTCAAACCTGTTGGGATGCAACTCTTTTTAAAAAATTTTTTTTATGTTCAAAAATGTCCAACAAGAATTATTTTCCCTTAGTTGTAGAACATTGTAAAAATATTACAAAATAAAATTTTAAAACAATTTTTAAGAATTGTTTTTCGTAATAAAATTTAAAAATCGAGTTGCATTTCGACAGGTTTTACTGTAGTGGGATATTTTTGTTTTATTTCAGAAAATATTTGGTTCACTATTTAATCTCTGACATCGTTCAACATTTTTTATCTACTTTTTAAAATTTTTTCCAAACTGGTTCTTTTTTAACTACTGAATTAATACTTTTTCTTTCTTACATACTTTTTTAATAATAAAAGAATTTATTTCAAAACTAATTTTATCAAATTTTACTTTTGTCACTTAAATACTTCTCACTAGTATTACTAAAGATCGGAAATAGTGTTTAACTTTTTCATTTCTAATCCACTTGTTCGTAACGTTCTCAAATTTTTTTTAATTCATGATTCGTTAAAATAACGAAATTTATTTTTTTCAACTTCCAATCTTATCATAAAAAATAGCATAATGTAGTCAAAAATAATTCGTTAAGTTTCAAATTTATGCCAGATTTTTAATTTTAGTTGCAGTTAATAATTAATAATTAGTAATTATCTAGTACCTACTTCCGAAGAAATATTTCCTTTATTTGAACGTTCAGAATTTTTGCAGCATTGTTTGTATAAATAATTTTAAATTTTCGAAATTAATTTGTTGACTTATGAAATTTACGATGATGAATTGAAAATGCATGATAAGAAAAATAATTGAAAAAGTTCCATTGAAAAATAATTGAAAGAATTTAGTTGAAACATAGTGAAATAATTGAAAAAATTGAATTGAAAAAGTTCAATTGCAAAATAATTGAAAGAATTTAGTTGAAAAATATGTAATTGAAAAATTTCAATTGAAAAATAATTGAAAAAATTGAGTTGAAAAATAATTGAAAGTATTTAGTTGAAAAATAGTGAAATAATTGAAAAAATTGAGTTGAAAAATAATTGAAAAAGTTGAATTGGAATATAATTGAAAGAATTTAGTTGAAAAATAGGTAATTGAAAAAATTCAATTAAAAAATAATTGAAAGAATTTAGTTGAAAAATATGTAATTGAAAAATAATTGAAAAAATTGGGTTAAAAAATAATTGAAAAAGTTCAATTGCAAAATAATTGAAAGAATTTAGTTGAAAAATAGGTAATTGAAAAATAATCGAAAAAATTGAGTTGAAAAATAATTGAAAGTATTTAGTTGAAAAATAATTGAAAGTATTTAGTTGAAAAATAGTGAAATAATTGAAAAAATTGAGTTGAAAAATAATTGAAAAAGTTCAATTGGAATATAATTGAAAGAATTTAGTTGAAAAATAGGTAATTGAAAAAATTCAATTAAAAAATAATTGAAAGAATT